TTCGAGTCTCAAATCCCGGCGCACTCAATCAAGCACAATGGGACAATCAGGACGGAGAGAGGAGGGCCGCGAGGGGCCCCCGGGGCGCCCACAATCAGTTTTAGAGGTAAAAAGAGAAATGGATTTCTAAAAAAGTTGGAGAATTTATTAATTCAGGGGCTGCGGCTTGCGAATTCTGGAAACGTTTCTTGGGACAGCTTGCATGGGCAGGTGTTGACAAGATAGTAAAACTATAAAGCAGCTTCTTGGTATCGGATTTGGTGTTTACCTGGTGGTGTACATGGACATCAAACCCGATGGATTTACAGTGGGTGTCCCTGCCCATCCACGCTCCCACGCCGGCCAAAAGGACAAACGGACGGGCGGACAGGCAGACAGACGGACGCCGGACGGGCCCTTCCCAGCGCGCTTGCCGTAGGCCTGGTAAGGTAAGGCGGGGCTCCAGGCGGCCCCGCACGGGGCCTCGAGCCCCATCTGGCAACAGTGCAGGCGAGAGGCGAGCCGAGCGGGGCAGCCGCAGCGCTCGCTCGCAGCCGGGGCAGCAGGGCCAGGCAGGGTGCCGCGCCGAGCCGGGGCCGCGCCAGCCGCGCCCAACGCTATGAACACGTACGACAGACAGGCGTGGGAAGTTCAAACAGGAAAGCGTTCATTTCAGCCCAAGTCCGGCCGTCCCGTCGGCCGCCTCAGTCTCAAAATCCACGCCGGCGTTGCGGAAAGGAGTGCAAAGCCGCGGCGGGGCGAGGGCGCCGACCCACGACGCCGGACGACGCCGGGCGACGCCGACCCCAGCGAGGGGAACACCGCCTCGCACGGCGCGGAGCGCGAAGCCCGCTCGGGGAGAGGACGATTTACCGCCCAACGGCCGCCTGAAAAGTACAGGCAAAAGTCCACACTCTGCCCAGGCAGCGCTCCTTCGCCCCTCGCTCGCCGGCCCTGGATCCGCCCCTGGGAGCCCGGCGAGGCCCAAAGCAGCAGCGACGCTGAGTCCTCCGTCGAGACAATGGCGCGGCACGGCCTGGCCCGATATGCACGGCTATCTCAAATCGAGGCGCCCGAACCGCGGGCCCGGCAGACCGATTCTGAAAAGCGCGCTGTCCCTCTCGCACCCCAGAGGAAGGCCCCACGAGGGCGAGAGAGACAGAGCAACCTCTGTACAGAATCAGGGTGCAGCCCGAGCTGTACGGCCCATTCGAGGCAATACCAGGCCCTTGGCATTCAAATCACGCATAGGCGCGATGCACACGCCGTGTGGGTATCTCCCCCCTCCCTCCCTTTTCTTTGTCTCTTATTATGGATCACATTTCTGTGACCCAGTGTGGCACTGGACTGTACCCACCGGGACGGCCGCCAACACGTGCGTGTACACTTGCATTACGTGTTTCTAAGGCTGCGAGTTGTAGTACTCAAGTCCACAAATGGCTGTTCGAACAGGGTGTGTGTGAAGAATGTGCGTCCATGGCGTCCTGGGACGTCCTGGACCTGACTGAACCGCCAGCAGGACTGCGTCCTCGACCGCGTCCACAGTGTTCACCGGGCGGAGGCGGCGTGGTCGGCGAGGTCCGGCGTTTGAATGAGCCAGCAGCCAGCGCTTGGGCCCAGCGCTTGGGCGGGCGTGTCCGCGGACAACGCGGTGACAACGCTGCTCCTCCCTCCTCGGGGCCTCCAGGGGCCTCCAGGCCGTTCCAGGGCAGTTCCAGGTCGCCGAATGAGGGTGGCGGGGCGGGCTGAGCTCACTCAGGGCCGCGAGGGCCGCGCGCCTCTCTCTCCGTCCTGGAAAAGAAAGCCCTGCTGTCTCCTGCCCGCCCGCCCGCCGGCCTGCCCGCCTGCCTGCGCGTCGTCGGCGTTTTATTCAAGCCAATTAGCACCGCGGGTGCAGCCAGGCTGCAGTGCAGTGCCTGCGGTGCCGGCGGTTCACTGACCCACGTCATGCCGCGTAATGCCGAGCACACTCAGCGCGCCCGTGCGTGTGTGTGTGAGTGTGTGTGAGTACGTGTGACTGAGTGCGTGGCCGCGAGCGCGCGCGTCAAGTGACGCGATAAGAGTGTACATAGTCAGGCCATGGGGGCGTGGCGCCGCGCGCCGCCTCGCCCACGTGTCCACCAAGTCCAGCACGGAGAACTAGGGCGCCCCGCTCCGCCCCGCTCGCCGCGAAAATGTGCCAGGCCGCGGTAAACGTTCCAGGCGACGACTAAATCGTCGTCGCCGACCTGGTACAGTGACAACTGGCCGGCAATTTTTGGAAGGGGTAGAGTTTGTCCTGGCCGTGCTTTGTGCCTACCTTAAGGGGGTCGTATTGCGATTTGCCTACCTTCCAGGCGGCTTTCTATGACGACAACAAGAGGAGGGGGTCGGGGCTGCAGCAGACTCGTCGACAGCAGGCAGGCAGAGACTTCCGCGCCAGTTTGAGCTGCTAGACTCGACGGTGTGTGTGCAGTGTGCAGACAAAGAGGGTGGCGGGCCGGCAGGTGCGCGTCGCACCGCGTCGCGGTCGGTTTGGAAGTTTGGGGGAGGGAGGGCGATATCGCGTGAGTCACAATGAGCCCAGGTCGGGATCCACGATCCACGCACCGCACGTGTGTGAGGGGGCAGTGTGTCTGTGTGCGTCGGCCGCGGCTGCACTGCGAGTGCACTGCAACCACCCTCCACGGCTCGTCCATCCCGCCCACCTCATCTCCATATACCGATCGTCCGGCCCACTGTAAGGCTGGCTGCGGCCCTCCGTACGCGCCGCGCCAAGGCCCCCTTTTTCAATTCGACCCGTAACATCGGATCGGCTCGGGAGCGGCGGCGGCAGCGGACTGCAAACTGATTCCCAGTGAAAGGTCTCTCTCTGTCTCTCTCGCACGGGTTCGCGTATGAGTTCGAGAGGGACGAACTTCTCCTGCACTGGCACGACGATCTGCCGTACGCACGTCGGCGGTGCACAGCCCTGCAGGGAAGACTGGGGAAAATGGATTGGGGGGGGGAGGGCTCGTCTAGTGGGAGGGGGCGGGGGAGGGGCGGGATAATTAAACGGAATAAAGGGGCATCCCTCAACAAAAACTCGTTTCAATTCCTCCGCATTCTCGGGGCACAGCGGCGCGCGCGCCGAGAGGAACCTGAACGCACTGCGTGTGATCGGTGCACAGAACACGACAAGGCAACGCTGAAAAGCACGTAGATTTTCAGGCTCTGAGAACGTTTGGAGCTCAACAGGCTGGGGCGTTCGGTGGGCTTGTGGCGCTCCGCCGCCATGCATCATTACACGTCCCCTTCGTCTGCCTTTATTATAGTGTAGTCCAGAATTTAGTTTCGAGCCGCGCCTCCGGGCTGTCCGGGCGCCTGCCAGCTCGGCCAGCCCCGCCGTGGCGCCCGTGGCGCAGCAGCGCAGCATGCAGTGGAGTCGCTGGGAAAGAGACGGGCGAAAATCCGATCCGGGAACGGCGTGGACTGGGCGTGGAACGGCGGGGCTCTTTGGGGCGGCCGGATCGGGTGACGCTTCTCGGAACAAGTCGCCCGGGAGGCAGGCAGGCAGGCAGGCAGGCAGGCAGCGGGGCACTGCACTGTACCACACACTTCGTTCCTTTCCGGTGACTCGAGAGGACTGGGTCAAGGGACCGATACTGCAGGAGCGAGCAGGCGAGGCAGGAGTCAGCCGAGCCCGGGGGCGGGCAGCCGTCGACGACAAAGGGTTGTCATGACAACCCAGGGCGCAGTCAGCACCCGCCACCGGCACCCGGGAAACCGCCGATAGGCAGCGCCAAATCAATGCAGATAATGGCAGTTGGCAGTGGCAAACCTTGCTCGATAACCAGCGGCAGTGAGCCTCGCCGCTGCCGCCCCGCCCCGCCTGATAAGAGTCCCTCCTCCAGGCAGTGCGGCTGCCAGGACGCCCCCGACCCACCGCCGCCACCGTGCAGGTCTTCATGCTGCAGGTGCAGCCGGGCACGCATGCCACAAGCAAAGCCGGCACCCAGAGGGCACTGCCACCGTCAATTTTGACAGATTTTGGCGGCGGCGAGTCCTGGACTAACGGCATCCTGGAGGCATGGTGTGCATCACGGTGTGGTGGTGAGGTGCGGGTGGCGAGGTGCCTGCCCTGTCCGTCCTGTCAGGCCGAGGGCCGCGGCCGTTGCGCCGCGCGCTGTGGCTGTGGCAGGGCAGTGCTGCGGCTCCGGCAGGTAGTCGTGCAGCGCGGCAGCGCGGCCCCTCTCGCTCGGCCAAGCCCGCCGTCTCGTCGGCCGACCGCCAACTCCAACTCGCCAAAGCTTACCTGACTCATTCCGGAAGCCGCACGTCACCATGGTATATTTATCCTTGCTTCATCACACTATCCGAATATATCCAAAATACAGGCACTGCACACACACGCACACGCGTCGCGAGTCACCAACGCCTCAAACGCGGACGACACCTGACGCGGACACGCCTCCTCCAAGCCCCATCACAGAGGCAAAACGACTGCGGTGCGGTGGAGGCGAGGCGACGCGAGGCTAGGCGGCACGGCACAACCGCCCAGGTAAAGGTACCGGGGCCCGAGCGGCAGCGGCGCGGTGCGGCGGTGGATCGGAGCGCGCCTCTGGTTGGACGGCGCCGCGCCGCCGCTACCGCCACCACCGCCACTCCGACACTTGTTGTGGCTGCGCCCCCTCCCCCTCCCCCGCCCCGCACCCGTGTCCCTTGCGCCCCTTGCGCCCCTCACCCACGCGGCCCGCCGAAGCTCGGCGCAGCGACACTCGCGACGGAGCGGAGGAGGTTCGGGGTTTTTCACATAGGTGGCGACACTAGCGCTCGGCCGCTCCCGTTCTGGCCAACTGTTAAACTCGAAACACGCCGTAAAAACGTGGCGAAAACTCTGCCGAAGCGAGAGACATGTAAGAAGCCGCATGGTTCTAGTAAAGAAATTTAACAAAATTTTGGGTCCGCTGCGTACGGAAGGCAGGTGACGGTCGGTAAATAATCACCAAAACTTGTGTTCAGTTGGCCCTCTTTTCGTCAAGTCACGGCTCGCTGGAGCCCACAAGCGTCTTCTAGAGTACGGTGCTGCATCCAAGAGGCCGTGCTCTGAAAATCCTCGGAAGCCATCAGTGTTGAAGCGAGAAACGGCCATATTGGATTAGAACATGGCGTCCTCCGATTACATTACGGAGGTTGTTATAAAGCCCGATATCGAAGAAGTGGAGATTGAATCAATCCCAGTGGATATGCCGTGTGAGACTGTGGAAACGACGATAGACTACGGCGAGGGCCAGCCCATGATTGCCCTTCAGCCCCTCCCCGAGCCCGGCAGGGAGGAAATCATTCTACAGACTCAGGAAGAAATTGTGTGTAGTGAGGACCCGCTCTCGTCTGTTTACGATCAGATGCAAGTTCCCGATCAAGAAATTTACGTGGAGACAAGTCCCGGGCCCTCGCGCAAGGGCGGCCGCAAAGGCAAGCGCGGCGGTCGTTTCAAAGGCGACAACTTCATGAGCGACGGCACCGAGACCAAGGCACGCAAGTGGGAGCAGAAACAAGTTCAAATCAAGACCCTCGAGGGCGAGTTTTCGGTCACGATGTGGGCCTCCGGGACTGATGATGGTAAGTTCCTCGCGAAAAATGGGTCGTTTCTCCGCCGCTAGGGCTGAGAGATGGGTTGGGGCCCTGTCAGATGTAAATAGCTTTGTCCTCGCGGTTAGTTATTTGGCCCAGGGCTGCTAGCCGGGGTCCTCTCGCGCGTCTCCCTCGCCCCACGGCGCTCCAGGCCACTGTGTGCTTACGCCCTTCCCGCTGTCACCGGAACCTATCAGAACCGGCTATTTATGTTTATAAACTTTGTTTGTTTTGGTGGTTCGTCTGCCATATTTTGATCTAAGGGCGCAGCCATATTTTTCCGAGGCAAAATGGCCACTGGACATAATGGCGCCCGTCACTCATTGATGCCCGACGCGTCTGGTCCTCGAGTTTGGCTGGGTTTAGCTTGGTTGGTCGCGGCTCAGCACCCCTTGCATGCTCTCCCGATGGAAATAAAGATATTCTGCTCCTGTGGGAGGATTTAGATCCGGCCGCAATGGGCTTCTTTCATCGCTGACTGCCTCTAAATCCTAGCGTCCTTGAGGACTAGCAAGCTTCGTTTCATTCGACAAGAACGACGCCAGCGCTATCTACGGCCGGCAGTGGAAATACTTGTCATTGCCCGGCTTGTATGAAATTTACCCCACCCCTCAAAAAAAGCCTCTTAAGATCTAACCATTATTTTTGTATTAAGTTTTGAGCTTTTAATTCTTGCTCTAATTATTATAGTTATTAAATCCTTGGGACCCACATTTTTCACTGTAAGTTGTGTGTGCACAGTTGTCTAGTCGTTGGCCCTTGTCCATACAGATGAATGCAGCAATGATGATGATGATACCGATCAGGACACCAGTGACTACCTTAAAAAGAATTCTGCCGATGGGATTCCAGGGCTTGATCTTAGTGACCCCAAGCAACTTGCAGAGTTTGCTAGGTAAGTTTTCTGACTCAGAATTTTTGCTACCGCCACTTTTGTCAATTCAGAACTGCATCTTACTCTTTGTTTATTTTTTCTTCAGACCTGGTCATAAAATGAGGAAGAAAGAACCAAGTGATGGTGTGGACAGAACTATTGCATGCCCTCACAAAGGTTGTACTAAAATGTTCCGAGACAATTCAGCTATGCGGAAACATCTTCATACACATGGTCCCAGAGTACATGTGTGCGCTGAATGTGGGAAGGCCTTTGTTGAAAGTTCAAAGCTCAAGCGGCACCAGCTTGTCCACACTGGAGAGAAACCATTCCAGGTATTATTAAATTTGTGCTGTTTATTTTTTATTATTTTTTTAAAATTTGTTCTAAGTCATTTTGCGCTAGTTTGATGTGTTTTCTATATTTTGGTATTACTTGTTTCAGTGCACCTTTGAAGGATGTGGTAAACGATTTTCTCTTGACTTCAACTTGAGAACTCACGTTAGAATTCACACTGGTGACCGCCCGTATGTTTGTCCGTTTGATGGGTGTAACAAGAAATTTGCCCAATCTACCAATTTGAAATCTCATATATTAACTCATGCAAAGGCAAAGTAAGAACACTGTTAATCCCTTCTTGTATATTGTTTCTTTAAAGGGCCTAAGTCTAATTAATATTGTTTTCTTTGTCTGTTCTGTTTGTTAAGGTCAAGGAATCCTGGAAGGTCAGTTCCAATGATCCATGCCCAACCATTTGTGCCACAATATGTACAAGTGGAAATGGGTGACACTGATAACCAGCAATTTATTGTATATGCGGATTAGAAGACTGCAGCTTTCATCTGGCTTGACTGGATGGGAACAAGCAAAGTGCCAGTGGCCAGTGCCTGAGTTGAAAGAAGTCCTGATGTGAGTTATGATACCTAGGAAGTGAATTTTACCCTATTTTGGGAAGATTGTATTAAACAAAACTGATCTTTAGCTTTATATTGTTTGAAGTGAGAGTGGTTTTCACACTTTCTTCAGTTGTAAATACTTGATGAATTGAGTGCTTGTTGATCCTGTCGCCTTCTCACACTGGAATATCCTCCAAACTTTCAGTATGTGTCACTGGAAATGCACATATGCAAAAACCTGGTACCTGCCCAAAAGTGATATTTTGAATCTGAACTCAGGCGACAGGAGTTTGTACAGTGTGGAGTTTTCACATGTTCGCGCCTGTGTACATTCTGTGCTTTCTCTTGGCAAAAAGCTCAAGTGCAAGGCATGATTATTTTTACTCTTGCGATTTAGGTTTTATCTCCGGTGTTTCGCACCAAGAAGTCATTTTATGTAGGAGTCAAGTGTGTTTCTCATAAATTCCTGTAAAGAAAGGAAAATTTTTCCAGCACATAGGAAGAATTTTGTTCCCAATTTAATTTGCCTGTGACTACACTTGTGCTGCAGTGATATGAAATTACATTGTAATGATTTTTTAATTGTAATTAATGCATGCGTTTCATCAGTCTTTGCTAGTGTCATGCACAGTGTGTTATGCCAATAATATCATGGTATTTACAAGGGGTGAAATGCTACCTTTAGGGTAGTTTGAGGAACATTGTGATGAGTTTCTCAGAGTCATTTGTAGATAGGTAGTTATCTACTAAAGCCTTGTGCCTCTATTTTCTGTGTAAAATAGTATTTTGTTCCCTTCAAAATCTGTAATTCTTAGATTGAGCTACCCACCATCACTTCAGAATGTCTGGCTTGATTTCACCGATGTCTGTGAATTGACTCATGTTTCAACAGACTCTTGCTTTCTGTTTTAATTATTTTCCTCTGTCCCAGCTCCTTTTTTTTCAAATCATTGAAAACAGACCCTAATTTTACCGATTGTGATACATGATGCAGTTTGCAGTGGTATGAGCAAATTGGACTTGTACAAAATAAACTTTCACTTTATTTAAAATGACGACTTTTACTGTACCCTACTTTATCACAGTTTCTGCCGTTTATACACAACACAAGGTTTATCCATGATACTACTAAAAAACAGACATGTTCAATTTCATGCATAGTTGAAACGAATGCAACATTGATTATTATTTGTTTATACATAGCTCCAGTAACCCATACAAACTTGTTACACCAAGTTTGAATCCACAACCCAGCTTATTTACATAACCAAATTGCTAAGATAAAAATAAAAGAATTTTACAGTAAAAACTGATTAGCCTAGAGGAAACTTGTAAAATCAGATACAAATTTGATAAAAATGCCATGACTTCCATGACAAACCAAGTAGATCTACAGGAAACTTAAGTTTCAGTCAGGAAAGATGTAACAATACAATGAACCAAAATAAAAATCCAAACTAATTTCATAAAATCAGAACATAGATTTCAAAGACAATAATAACAATAGAAAGAAGCAACAATTGTACAGTTTAATAATAATAATGATTCACACAAAGTAACATCACATTATTAGACCTACATTTTCCTGAAATACCATTATGTGAGGATCACAATATAAGTCATTACAGGACTATGGCGTCTCATTTAAAACAGAAAATCAGTCTAACAGCCTTATATCTACCAATCATTTTGGCATATATTTGTGACAAAAATTAATTGAAGTGCAGCACAAAAGAACAAGAGGAAGGGAATCATCAGAATCGATTTACTAAACACAATTCCTAACATATACCTGAATTTTTGTTCTTTTTCCTTGTAGCCTCATACCTATTTTACATTTTGTATTTATTTATTTTTTTTACAGTTTTTCTAGAGAGCTTTATGGTCAGCTTACATAAACAGCACCCCAGAAAAATGTGTAATTGGCAAATGACCAAATGGCCAAGAGTCTGTGGAATCTCTAAAAAGGCAGAGCTATTCTCACTCTGCATGGGAAATCTTGAGGAGATTTTGAGCATGAGAGTTGTGCTGGTATCACAGCACCTTCCACCTTCTAAAAGATAACAATCAAATTAAATAATTCTAAGAAAGGGTAGAAACTTTTCGAAAGTCTCCAACACACACACATTTACACGCAGATAAAATAAGATGACCCTGTTTAATAGTAACAAATGGTTTCAACAGGGTATTCTCAGCACATCAGGTTAAAATACCTCAGTAGGAAAGGGTGCTACACACGGCAAGGTAAGAATGAAAAAGTTCCTGAGACTTTAGATGAGAATGAGATCAACCCTTTGAAGTTTTATAAATGCATTTAGATTACTAGAAAAAAATTATCATGCAATTTGTTAATGATGATGACCAGTAGTGAGTAATGCAGGTGATAGAGCACCCACTATGAGGGCAGCGAGCTCAGAAAATCGCAACATCCCACCTCCACCGCCGTGGCAATTTCCAGATCGGTTAGTCAGTTCTGGCAGCACATGAACTGTAGCTACATATAGGAAAGTGCCAGCACTAAAGAGCATTGCCAAACCAGTCGCATTTACTGATGATAATGTTTCCTTTCCCTCCTACAACCAAAAATACAAAAAAATCAATAAAATTGAAATGTTAAAAGGGAAAAATCCACAAATCGTCTGTGCTTACCTGTCCTATGCCATAAAAGGTCACAAGAGCCAAAACAGGGGCTGCCAGAGAGAAAATTAATAAGTTCTTCCTTATTCTCTTACGGTCCACCCCTTCATGAAGTAAGAATGTCACCAAACCAAATGCAGCAGGTGCCTTGAAAGAAAAGAAAACTGAGGATGGAACAGTTGATAATGGTAATGGTTGATTTTGGACAGGCTTAGTTATTTAACTGTAGTACCTTGTGAAGCATGATTGCTAAGAATACAATCATCTCTACATCTGTATGCGCAGTGGTCGCAGCTGCTCCAAGAGCGACACCATCGACAGCAGCATGCACAACCAGACCCAGGGTTGCAGTGAAGCTTCGCTCGGCACCTTTTCCGCCTCCTTCAATATCTATTGTACAATCATTTATCATCTTTCTATCCATCCAGCAGCTTGATAGCAACTAATGCGAGTAGAACTTACCTCTTGATTTTGCCATTGAGAGTTGATCAATTAATAACATAAAAACAAAGCCCAGGACTAGGGATAGACCAATCAGCGTATGGATGTCACTGGCTTGGGTATGGCTTTGCGGTTCTTCAACAACCAGACCTTCATTCTTGGACCCGACACCAGCATGAGCTATTGGAACAGGAGATATTATAACGCAATTTTGTCTAAATGCACCAAAACCATTTACTTTTTAGTACGTAATACAGTATAGGCTAATTTTACCATGGGATGCCTGTGGCACATCTAGCAGCGCACGCACACCCTCAGGGATGATTACAGCTAGAGCTGTACCAACCAGCAAACCTGCTCCAAGGACGGATATCAGCTGCAATTTTTCCTGTAATGAAAAATTAAATGAAAGTAATGAGCAAATTGTAGCATCTGTTCCGATAGAAGGTTAGTACAGGGAAAGAGGTCGACAAGTTTAACAGTGGTCTTCAAGTGAGGAAAAGAGAGGAGTGACAAAATGATGGCATCTCCAGACGCCAACGTGTACTAAACTTTCGCTGCCAAGATAAATAAAACAATCTCAAAGTAGGCCATAGCAGAAAGAAAATACCCACCTCGGACATGGACATCACAAGGGGAATGGAACCGGCCAAGAAGCTCCCCACCAGCATAACGATTGCAAGTAGAAGCAGCATTGTGCCTTCTTCCATACTTCAATGAATGGTTTCAGTAAATAGAAGGGACTGCAAATCCCTTTTCACGTGAGACACATACTGTCAACGTAACCTGACAGAGCTGCCGACGAGACGACGAGGAGGGGCGGGGGCGGGTGGCAACGGCTCGGCCAAAACACAAACACCCGCGTGCGAATAGTGCCCACCTCGCACTCCGATTGGCCCGGCTCCATGCGTTGTTGGCAGTTTGCCCTGGCTGGACCAATAGGAGGGCGTTTTGCGAGCTATACGCACGTGAGAAAGGGAAAGGATAAAGTAGTGTCAATAGTGTAGAGCCTGCGTGTTGCGTGCGTGCAGCGCGTAGGTTCGCGTTCGCTTGGCATTCTGAAAGAAACAAACAGACCTGCGCAACTCCAGCCTGCATTTGCCGGCGATTTTCCTTACTTTCTGTCTACTTTAGTTAACCTCATGGCAGGAGAAGTTATTGTTGATGCCCTGCCGTACATTGACCAGGGTTACGATGAAGCCGGTGTGCGCGAAGCGGTCAGTATCGTCGCGACGAACGAAAGAAAATGCTATAGGTGAGGTTAAGTGTCATTTATGTTTGATTGCAAATTACATTTCCCTTCTAGGCGTTGGCGATGGTGGATGAAGAAACTCGTCGCTACAGACCAACCAAAAACTACCTCGAACATCTTGCCCCCTTGAATACAACCCTTTTTGAGGTAGGTGGGCTTCGACTAGGCTACATACATTTCATTTTTCACACTCTAATGTACGTAATTGGTTTCCCTCGTTTCATTATTCTTTTGTTGCAACTATAGACAGATATGATGAAAAGTGAGTGGGAACGTATGCAGCAGCGACAACCCATGGATGTACTCAGTATGAAACGGTATGAGTTGCCTCCTCCCCCTGCTGGGAAAATGACTGACATCGCAGCTTGGACTGAATGTGTAGAGAATTCTCAAGCACAACTGGAACATCAGGCTACCCGGTAAATTGTCTTATCGTTATTTTTCCACGCATTGTGGTTGTGTTCCATGAATTGGCTACACTTCTGTTCTCAAATCTTACCCAGTATTCTGAATGCTCTCATCATACTAAATCCATTTTCCCTATCGTTGCAGTATTGCCAATCTTGAGTTGATGTTAGATTATGGCTGTGAGGCATGGAAAAGTTACCTTGAGCTACTTGTGGCATCTGTTTCCCAAGCTCAGAAAAATCTTATGGCACTAAGGTAAGCGTTTCTCATTTTCACCACTGTAGTGTTTGCTGCAGCACAGTAGCAGTTGTCTTGTCAATGTTCGATTTTCATTACTGATTATTTTGTTTGTGTCTAAAATATTTTCTCTTGATTAACAGAAAAGACATTCAAGAAATTAACTGGGAAAGAAAGAATGCCCAAATGAAAGGAGGGGAGAAGTTGAGAGAATTGGAGTCAACTTGGGTAGGCTTAGTGAGTAAAAATTATGACATAGAACAAGCCTGTGTTACCATAGAAGAAGACATAGTAAGACTTCAGAAGGAAAAGGAGGGTGCTCTCAAGAGGCGCAGAATTGAAGAGGAAAGAGCCAATGTTAAGAGGCGAAAAATTGAACAGCGAGAATTAGAGCGACAGCAACGGGAGGAGCAGATGCTGCGGGAGCAACAGCAACTAGAACAGTTAAGACTGGAGCAAGAAGCTGCTGAAGCTCGAGCAAATGAGGAAGCTGAAGAAGAATTAGAACGACAAAGAATCCATGAAGCTTGGCAAGATCAGCCAGATGAAGACACGTCCAACGCAGAGGCCGAGCAGAACACCAACCATGCAGAAAATAGTGATAGTCAAGAAAGCACCCAATCAAGAGGCAACTCAGATTCAAATCAAAGTGGTGATAATGGTGGAGTGGAAGATAGTAACAGTGGAACTGACAGCTAACTAAGAAAGGTAATTTAAGTAGAATCATGTTGGGTTGTGAAACATGAAATCCCTTTTATGACAACTTGATTATTAGATTTATTTCTTGCTAAATCTACTTTTACAATTTGGGTTTAATTTGAGACAGTCATAATAATGTATCTCAATGAAAATCACGTATACAATGAAGGAGAAAATTCCAGTTCAATCATGCAAACTTGCATAAATTATTCCAATTATAAGTTGGGTCACCTCTAATCATTCTTGGTCAATCTTACATTGATTTTTGAAAATAAAATGCCATATAAAATCACAGAGTTGTTTCACTGGGAGTGGCATGAGGATCAGGGCCTGCTGGTGCTGGCTGAGAAATGTTGGATTTTGTCTCCTGTTCCAATGCTACTATTCTTTGTTTGAGTGTCCGCACCTTTAATAAAACACAAATGTTGTTGAGTTTTCAAAATTCAATCTTTCCAGTTTTAAAGCCATGTTTTATTAAACTTACCTGACAAGAGTGACGTTCAACCATTGACAACATCTGCTGTTCCAGCTTTTTCAACCTTGATTGGTACTTTTTCTTTGATTTTTCTAGAGTCTGTACAAGTGTGCTGAAAGAATTTCAAAAAGAAGTGCATTAGTATTTCTTCAGTCCTCACTTGCCATACTAACTTTGTCGGAGACCACCCACCTGTTTGCTCGCTTTAAGTCATTTACTAACTCTGCAGACTGCAAGTGCCTTTGCTCAGAATTTCGACTGACTTTATCTAAAGTGTCTACCAGCTCATGAACTCTACTCTTCAAATGGCTTTCTCTTCTTAGAGCTGCTGTCAGTTCTGTTTCCTGTGCATCACCTTCATTCCCACAGGTTGTGTCCTACAAGCAGTAAATATAATATGGTTTTGTTAAATCCTCTGTATAAGAATAATCACAACTTCGTGGGCAAATGTTTGTCATACCCTGCTATGAACCTCCAATTCTTGCAATTGAGATTGCAAGTGCATTATTGATGCTGCTTGGGCTTGTCTCTGGGTGTCCTGGCTACTCAAACGTAGTTCAAGAGCAGCACGTTCTTTTTCCAAAAGATACAGACGTGCTCGTAGCTCTGCCTTGTCCTCTCTCATTGCCATTAGTTCCTGATTAAGAAATGTATCATCATCTTCAACAGGTAAAAATGTGTAAATTAAAAGAACTATGCAAATTTGTGTGGTGGAATTTTACCTGCATCAACACAGCAGTTTCTAAATCAAGTTTTCGTGCCTCAGTCAGAGAAACAGGCACCCTTGTGCTGAGAGCTTCAGCATGCACGCTCTCAAGTTCAACAATTGTGTCACAAACTCTACTTCGATCCATTTTTAGCCTAGATATAAGTTCTCTCAGCCTCTGCTCATCTCCTGGACCCCAATCCCCCTCTCTGAAAAATGAGTAAAGAATAATTTCATTGATATTATCTATCAAATGACTTGCAAAGGATTAAGACATATGAAATCGTTGCATCCCTTACTTTGTGCACCTTCCATATTGTTCTGCTTCTAGAAGACTCCATGCTGCTCTCTCAGCAGATCGTCTGTCGTCAACCTCATCTTTACTCGCTGATGCACCTCTGAGAATCAATGCCAATTCACTTTCAAGTAGGGCCACGAGACAATCATAGGCAGCTGTTGCTCTGTCAGCATACCCTAGTGCCAAGCGTAGTGCAATTGCATTGGATTCATATTTTCCAACTAGCAAATGCAGCCTGTTTAGAACACAATCAAAGATTTATAAACCTGGACTCCTTTACTATGTACATACGAATTGTCAACTTGTCTTACTTATCACTTTGGTTTTTACACTCCTCAAGAGAAAGGGACAGAACATTATTATGAGCACGCGAGTGCTCCAATCGTGAGTGGAGTCTTTCTATCTCTATATCCAACTGCTGGCGAGCCTGTTCATCATGACCATGGCGACCAAGCTCCAACAAGTCTGACTCCTCAGCCAGGGCAGAAACCAGGTGCTCCGCCATTTGTGTTGTGGACACCTGTTCGCAATAAAATGACAAAAAAATGAATATCAGAAAAATAAATTGAATGTACAGCTATTAGATGAACAGTACTTACACCTACTGATGCTATTTCTGGGCCTGTTATTGGTTGGTCCATACGTTTTAATCGTACTCTTTCTGCAACTTTCAGCACAGGAATATCCGAGTCTCGTGGCACACCTGGAAGTGCTGCTCCATGGCTAGGAGAGCCTGGTATACTAGATGAACAGGGTGCTATTGAAGACAGTGAGGAGGGTTGTGGAATGTGGTCCACGCCGTCACTTTCGTTGAAACGGCATTCCAAATCCTTTAACTTTTTTGCGAGCAGAAAGAGGAAAACAGATTACACAATCATCACAGAGTTAATAGACAATTTGGGAATATTACATAAAATTCTCCACATGAAGAGTACCTTGCGCTTTAGTCTATCTCTCTCACGCCGAAGAGCCTGGGCACGAGCAAGTTCAGCATTCTGCCTAGTCAGCTGATCTGCAAGAGTTGAATTTTCAGCTCGAATGTGGATAAGTTCTTCCCTCAAAGCAGCAAGCTCTAAACTGCGACATGAGAGAGAGGCACCTCTATTCAGGGCATTTCTTTTGACCTGAAAGAAAAAGGATTCCATTTAATATGATACAAAAAATTAAGCCTTAAGAAATAAATACTGTTAATTTAGTAACACATACTTGTAGTGGATGGCCTAGCTCGCTATCAGAGCTGTTGTTTGAAACCACATCATCAATCGTTTGCTCAACATCTTGCCCTTCTGACTCATCAGCATTGGTAATGTCTCGCTGAATGGCTCCCTCTTCAAAATCTGAGGAAAATTAGGGTACATTATAGATGTATTAAAAACATGGGCACATGTAAAATGTATTAAAAATATGGACAATTTTTAAATACAGTACTTGTGAACCAAGTTTTTTTGAAATAATGCACAGCAGCTACACACCTGAGCAGTCTGCCTCTGGTTCGATGACGACTTCATCATCCAGGAGGCTGGTGGTGGGCATCCCATCGTGGCCGTCACCCTGACCGTCGTCACGGTCCTGCTCCTGGTCGTTCTCCTCCGCGATGACTGCGCTCCGCTGGCGGTCCAGTTTGCGGCTCAGCTCTGCAATGACACTGTGGAGCTCTGTGATGCGGTGAGCCTGCACCTCTGCATCACCCTCCAGTCTCAGACGTTCCACCTGTAACAATCAAGTCAGTGCTGAAGGAGTATTCAATTCTATAGGGACGACCTGCACCATAGTCTCTTAGATATTTTCATTTCCATTAAAAACAAAGTTACTTGAACTAAATTGTCATTAAATTCATAAGTACAAAGATATTAACATTAATAAGCAAAACACTGACTGCGTACCACATACCTCTGTCTTAGTCAAGGCTGTTTCCAGCAAGTCCCTCTCTTGTGAAGCAGCGTGTAAGCGTTCAGTGAGGTCTAGAATGTCGCTCTTGAGGGAGGTCAATGCCGCTAGATGCAGCTGCAACATAGGGAAGGAAATATATGCAAATAGAGAGTGGCAGTGTCATTTGGTTTCAGTCACATTTATTTTGATTGGGATAGACACAGGACGATTGATAGACAGCGAGAAAGATTTGTGCCTCCACAGTGAAGTTCGTATTTTTGCGGGCTAGACTCGTGCTAGCGTCGGAGCACACGAGCGCAACCCCACTCCCCACTCCACCGACCCGAACCCGACCTCACTCCCTCCCACTCCGCGCTCTCGAGACCGAGGCTGCTTGCTTGTGAATGTGGACTGAGCCACCTCCTTCCATCGGCCTCCGTGGCGCAATGGTTAGCGCGTTCGGCTGTTAACCGAAAGGTTGGTGGTTCGACCCCACCCGGGGGCGCTCTTTTATCCCGGGTTGGATTCTGTCTTGGTATTTTGCATTTTTCGTGATCGCGTTTGCAGTTAAAAACATGATTCTAATGATTTGAAAGGTGTCTCGAAAGTAAAACATATTGTAGGAAAATTCTTTGTTGCGTATGGTTCAAAATCCTTCGAGATTTTACCGAGTAACACCGGTAACTAGAACATGAACATGGCAGACTAGACCAGGAATGATCCTCTGCCGATTCAGGCCCGTCCAGACTGCACTAGGCTAGGCTGCACCACCGTGGCCGGCGTGCCGGCGCCATGCCGATATGCCGCCGCGCCGGCCGCCGAGCTGGCGGACTTTCTTTCCTCTTGCGTCATTCCCCACCTCCGTTCGTGACCCCTCCCTCCCTCCCCCCTCCAGTCACCGCTCTGCGCAGGGCGGCTCCCATCCTCGGTGGCGGGAATCCTAGTATGGTCTGCTCGGGGTCCCCTCCCACCATAGCAGAGTGGCGCAGTGGAAGCGTGCTGGGCCCATAACCCAGAGGTCCGAGGATCGAAACCTTGCTCTGCTAGTACAATTTTATGCCGACAATTTTCACAATTTTTAACTTTGCGGCATTTGATTTTTCAGTTGGGAAACTGTGCTTATTCAAAAGATTGAAACATTTGAGTCAGATGGAAGAAAGGTGAAAAATTATCTCAGCTCAGAAGGCAACTATGCTATATGAACACAACACACCACTTTCACTCAATGAACACGCGGGGAAGTGCTTGCGCAGCCAGGATGGATCTCGGGGGGGGGGGGGCATGGTTTGCCCAGGTTTGCCCCAGGTTCCGTCCTCTCTGGTTTGCCCCGCCTGGCCTCCGAGAGCATGTTTCTGGAGGCAGTCGCTGCGCGCCAAGGACGAGGGGAGGGGAGGAGACGAGAGGGACGACTGGGCAGGATGTTTCCCGCCAAACGAGCTAACAGGCGATCCGCTACGCGACGGAACAAGATCGCTTCGGCGTCCCTCCCACCACCCTTATCTCCGCCCGGCTAGCTCAGTCGGTAGAGCATGGGACTCTTAATCCCAGGGTCGTGGGTTCGAGCCCCACGTTGGGCGTTCCTTTTGTGCGTCAGCAAGTCTTGTGCAAATAGATTTCAAGTAATCAGAAGCAGAGTGGCGCAGTGGAACGGTGCTGGGCCCATAACCCAGAGGTCCGAGAACCTTGCTCTGCTAATTACTTTTGAAATTATTTTTTTAAAATAGACAAACAAATGTATTTTGGTTTTGGTGAGATCCACAGCGGAGTGCTGCAAACTGAGCCCTACCATTTCAAATTTTTGGTTGATACCTTGTATTGTTAGCACTGACGGCAAAATGAGATGCTCCCAACAATATTTTGCCACTGATTAGTCGTAAAAGTGATCCCGGCCGGGTTCGAACCGGCGACCATCTGCGTGTAAAGCAGATGTGATAACCACTACACCACGAGACCTTGTTGGTGGTGGGGGTCGCGAGAGTCGATCTGACGGCACCGCAGGCGGCGCCCAGGGAAGTGCGCGGGGGGAGACGTGGCGTTTGGGAGGGTGGTGGGGCGGAGGGTCACGGACTGGGTCGGCACGTGGCGAAACGTGACGCAGGAAAAAAGTTCGCGTACCTAGCGAGCTCTACCTAGCCCGAATTAGTGCGACAACTGCGCAGAGTTTGATTTGAGAGACAGGAGATTGCTGTGGACGGACGGCTCAAACAGTGGATCCCCATCAGGTCCTCACCTGCAACACACAGAAAATGCGGGGGCGTCAGGGAAAGAGCTTGTTACACATACTGTCCCCTGAAGGGCCTGCAGGATTTGCCCGCCCACGCGTTCTCCATCCGCGCGGCGTGGGCCTGAGCCACACCAAGCCGCCACACGTGCTCCATTTATATTTAGTCGTGACGCGACGCCCTCCGTCTCAAGCACAGAGTGGGGTACCTTGCCCGTCGTCATAAATGTCACTATTTTTCCGAAGCTGCTTTTCTTACGCAAATCGCTCCGTCGCGCCACCCCACCAACCCCCGGCCTCTCTCGGCCCCCTCCCCTCGAGTCCGGTCTCGGTTCGGTTCCCTACTCCGCTCGGCAGAGCGCTTATGAGGACTTTCGAAAGACAGCAGCTCTCAGCGATCCTACAGCCGTGATCGTATAGTGGTTAGTACCTTGCGTTGTGGCCGCAATAACCCAGGTTCGAATCCTGGTCACGGCATGGAATGGATTGATCTTTTGCTGTTGCTGCGTGTACACTTAATGTTACAGCAGTCACTTTTACATGCTCCAAAATTAGCGGGGCCCTGGCCGCACAACTTTCTTGAAATGACAAAGGACTTAATTATTATTTGCAGCTCACCAAGTGCTTGCGAAAGGAAAACAATGAAACATTTATCGGATGTTATCTGCCTATCTAACCAGTCATGAGAATTTCACCTCACCACTTTATACACCTATTGCAGGAACCCAAACAACCAAAAAATTGACTGCTTGGACTTGCCGTGACCAGGATTCGAACCTGGGTTATTGCGGCCACAACGCAAGGTACTAACCACTATACGATCACGGCTACTCAGCAGGCCTGAAGTCGTGCTGCCCTGGTTGTGAAGTCAAGAGTCCGGCCGGGGCGTTATGCAGCGCCCGAGTAGCGCCAGCCAATCCTGATGAAAGTGTCTCGCGAGCCTGCTTGGGGCGGGGTAGCGGATCACGGCTGGCTGGGCACAGCAGAGCCGGCTGTTTCCAAGTCGTGCGGCAAAGTAGTCCATTGCCTTCACACTGACAGTAGCCGTGATCGTATAGTGGTTAGTACCTTGCGTTGTGGCCGCAATAACCCAGGTTCGAATCCTGGTCACGGCAGTGAGTCATGTTTTTTGGTCGAGTCCTGGAGCGACTTGGGCAGCAACAGACACCGACAGGTCGAGTCTGAAAGCCTGCATCCAATTTTGATCAGCACTAGGGTCGCCGGACCGACTGGGCCTGTTTCAGTGCCATGGCAACTACCACCCCCTTCCTAGAGTGACCCTTATTGGTCCACCCCTCCTGTACCTTGCCTGTGTGGGCCCTTGTATTTGCCTTGCAGTCCCTCACCTTATAAAGAAATTATAGCACAGTACGTCAAAGTTTGTAGCCGGACGGAAATTTCGACTTTTCTTTGGTGTCACTGCCCGCGGCAACCGGCAACTCTTGTCACGCCGTATCATGATGTTTGCCCTCTTGCCCTAATACTGGGGTCTTATTATCAATTGATCGGAAACAGCGCTTCACCTTCTTCTCACGCCCCACCCTTCTCCTTCCCAACCGCCTTGACCGCGAGCGGGCTTGCCAGCTTCCCTGCCACATTAGCACCAAGTGTTGCCGCCAGTGAGACAAAGACAAGGTCAGCATGCTCTGCAGAGACGTTTCTCCCTCCCGTTGCCCTCTGACCTTCGCTTGGGCTGGAGGGTGGGGTAGAACACTGGGTAGAACGGCCTCGCAGGAATGGCCTACGTCCAAGTTCCCTGCGCCGAGTTCCTGCAAACCCCGCCTGCCTGGCCAACTGGCCACAGGTGCAGTGCAAACTTGTCTCCCTGGGGCACCTCCAGGGAGCACGGGGCGAGTCCTTGGCTTGGCCCTCTTATACCTTGGCCCTCTTTACCTTGGCCCTCTTGCCTTGACCCTCTTGCCTTGTCCCTCTTACTTTTGGCCCTCTTGCCTTGGCCGTCTTGCTTTGACGCGTGACCGGCGACACTCCTAGCTTCTGCGAGGCCGCGAGCGGCGTTCCACCCCATATTTCTGGAAAGCCCGAGCATGCAGGTGCTGGCCTTGTCCGAAAAATGGCTTCTGGTGGCTTTTTCGTGCGATTTACTCTGAGTCCCCCTGCTCTGCTCGCCCCTCCCGCCGCCGCCGCGTCGCGAGAAAACATGAATACACGAGTGGGGCACAGCCCCGGCACAGCGGCGCCACCCCTACGGGGCGCTCTGCAGTGTCCTTGCACATTTCCGGCTCCCTCTCTTTTCCCTCCTCTCCTCTTCTCGCGGGCTCGCGGTGTTGGGACGCATGTTGACTTAGCAGGCGCCCCGGGCACGAGCTGCTCGGGCGCGGCGTGACGGTTCCAGGAAAAGAGAAACACAAAGTGGAACCTGCGCAAGGCGAGTTTGCACAGTAACCCCGCTGGAGTACTATACCAGGGCTAGAACGAAAATAAAGAAAACTTTAAGTTACTCGTTTTCTTCTTCATACGGTAAACCGTACTGTCAGTATGGTGACTTATCATTACTGTTCAGCATTCACTATTGCACTCATCGGCAACACAATGCTAGTCCGAAAGTAAATCTGTCCACATTTCGAAGAGTGGAATTGGACTGGCTGTGTTACCCACTGAGGAGCACCTATCGTGTAGGAGAGTTCGTCCGCCAGATGGCGCTGCCGTCGCTTGTCGGTCGGTCGCTTCGCGCTTGTAGCCAGCATCGCTCTTTTGACTACATGGGATCCAAAACCTCTCTTCGGCACTCTGGTCTCCCTTCAAAACGCAAAAATCTTTCGCCTTTTACTAAAGATTTCCGTGGAGGGGGACACATTATGAGTCTAACGACCAATTTTTTGTGTGCCCTGCGAAAGCGGGGCCGATAATGCACTACGGAACTAGATCTGGTAAACGCCAAGCTTTGAGACACTCCGATGAGAAGTGATCCTCACTTGAATATTGTCCCGAAGCTCGTGATAGTAATTTGCTAGCGGGTGGTTGGTTTTGTTTGCGGAACAATTACTGAGTTACTACATATTTTACGGGTTGATTCAATATTTTTAGTAGTTTCCAGTCTTTTTTTGTTCTGTACAGGCCGGGAATTTTAACATGGGAAGAGGCTTGGCTACGCTAAAGCTGCAGTAACTTCTTTCGTTTGGCCACCAGGACAATTATCTTGGTGAAAATATTTCGGCAACAATCATACCAGTGTAAAACAACCTCTCCACAAAGAAAAAGTTTCTCTGGCCTGAACCGATTCTCGAGGGGCAAGTCAAGGTAGTAGTAGAAATTGCGTCTGTCTACAGACGCAATAGTAGTAGAAATTGCGCCTGTCTACAGAAGCACAACAGCAATTTACGGCAGTACGTATTCAGTCAGTTACCCACTTACAGGAAGGTGACAACCGTCTTAGGTGCAGACCTAGCAAAGGCATGTCAGCGTTGTTCAAGGTGATAAATCAATTCTTTCCAGTTAGTCCGTCCGCACAGAGTCATGTCAAACGCTCCGAGCGAGACCGGTCGGCAAAGGAGTTTCAACTCTTCCCACAGGAAGACTAGTGAGGAGGCAGAGAGAGATTATCCGGGACAGCGCGAACGCAGTCCCGACTATCAAAAATTATACATCCGAGGTATCCACATTTGGGATACTCGCAGAGGTCAGCCCATCCGAAGTGCAATGGAAAGGCCTCGCCCTGGAAGAACCGCCTTATTGATCACGGTTAACTTCTATGCCAGGTAAGTATGCTGTTGACTCGTTCAAGATTCTGACTAACCCTGACGGCATGCGGAGTGACCCGCACGTGCAAACTCGCAAACGCCACCATAACGCTGCTCTTAACGTGGCCCTGCATTACGCCGAGGCCAGAAACCAATTCCAATCCACCAGGCTTTTTCCCGCCTTTCAAATCACGTTCACCATGTCTTCTCCAACGATGCGCAAAATTTTAAAATATTAAATTTCTTGGTACGACACGCGACTAAGCAACAACACGCCACCTCGTGGCAATGGCAGCAACTACTGCGGCTGGCTGTAGTGGAGAGCGAGTTGGACGTCGCCGATGAGGGCGATCCGATTTCCTCTGATTGCAACACATCCGTAAAAGAAAGAGCAGATATTTAAACAAAGCACAAAAAAAATGGCGCGCATTTAATATCACAAGAAACATGTTGCACTCAAGCACACAACTTCGATTTCGTACGACTCGCAGTACACGAAAACCTAACCTAAGCAGCGGGACATGCTGGTTGGTCTGGCGGGCAGCACAAGCCCCGCCCCTTGGGCTGTGCTGCCATCTCTGGGGATTCAACAGAACCTCGTCGACGTAGTCAGCGCTTCAACCTCTTGAGTCCAGAATTCCTTGATTTACTATTTCAACACATCCAAATCAAATTAATCATCTGCTCCTACATTTTCAGCTCTGGTTGGCGGGTTTTGCGGTCAACACCATTCCCAGTCCATGAATTTTCCATTCCAATCATTGAAAGAAAATAAATTTGGCTTGATTGCCGTGAACTTCATACAGGCACTACGAGGAGGCGCTGCGGTCGCTTGTTGTCCGACCGCTCGCGGTTGTAGCCAGCGCTACCATATTGACTACCTCGGCTCCGAGCCCACTCCTATGCACTCTGGTCTCCCTTCAAAACGCAAAAATCTTTCGCCTTTTACTAAAGATTTCCGTGGAGGGGGACACATTATGAGTCTAACGACCAATTTTTTGTGTGCCCTGCGCAAGCGGGGCCGATAATCTGAACACATCAATCACCCTCAAAGGAACCAAGACGATACTCGTTGTCAGTGGGCACTGTCTACTGACAAGTCTCTCCTTCAATTCCCTGATCGATACTTCTTTCCTCATGGGATGTTTACAGCCAAGAGCGAATACTTTCAGCACTTTTCGTGCACAATACCACTGTTAGCAGGCCAGCCAGCTTCAGTTCCTCAGTCTTGAAGATGATCAACATCCTGCTCTCCTGCGGAATGAACAAGCGGCCACGTCATAAATTCAGTTTTGGTGCTTGGACACGGTGCCACCCCATGCAATCCTATTTTTGATACTGGCCTCCCAGTCGAATCGGGCAATGGAAAGACTTCGACTCTGAAGTACCGACAATAGAACTGGTAAAATATGCTTCAAACACAAGTGACCAGTGAGCGAAGCAGACACTAAGCTCACTCTGTCCGACTCTGTCAGTAGATAATGCTCTTATGAGCCTCCGTAGAGGCTTCCAAAAATTGCCATGGTGGACTATATTTCAAGTCCTCCAGGCGGGGTATTGGTAAAAGTTTTCAACTAGCAATAATCGCACCTCGGATAAACCTCATTGGTTACGATATCGCCACTGCGCAAAGTTAACTTGACTGCGTCTCCCACCGACCCTAGTCAAGAGACGGCTGTGAGACTGCACCGCGCGCGCACGGCCCTACAACGACCGCAGCGCCATCTACTGAGCGGCAGCCGACACAGAGCCGAGCACTCAAGCACCTCGCGCATGGACCGAGACAGGACTCTTGCGACCTGAAAGCGCCTTCAGCTTGTAGTGACACTGTATCAATGAGGACAGGTCGGGACAGATCAGCAGGACGTCGAAGACTCAAAATATCCACCACAGTCATTTGGGTGAAGCCATACGCCCGAAAAACCTGCGACGAGGAGAGCATGTGGCAAGGAGAGCAGCTTGTTAGGCACCTCTTGAGGCCGGGCAACGTCGCAGCCACCCTCGGCCCCTTTCTCCCTCCTGCCTCGCCGTCGCCCCCTTGGCCGACTTGGCTGCCCTCATGGAAAATAAAGGTCGGGATGTTGCCTACGGGCCTCCACGGTCCTGACAGGCCCGCCCCGCCGAGTTGGGACTGGTGACGCAGGCACAGCAGGGCATCGCGAGCGACCCTTGCCCTTCCTAGCGCCCCCCTGCACAGTGCGAGAACAGCCAGGCCGCTTCGCTCTCTACGCTCAGCTTCGGCACGCCCATGTGAAAGAGCAAAAGCAAAGTGTGAGGGAAATTTTACAATTCCCACCGCGCGCGGCAAAAGGAGAGTCAAGGGCGCTTGTGATTTGAGGGTTTTGCGACGTCAAGACAAGGCTTGGCCGCGGTTTCGTACGCTTAGCGTAGAATGGGTTCATGTGTCGGAAAGGCGTAGCCTATTCCATATCTGGGGTTGCTCAATCATCATCGGAGGTACTCGTCAGAATCATCAATTCGGTAGGCCATCACAAGCTTCGGACTCCCCGAAGCAAGAGGGGTCCCGGTGCGGTATATATCGCGCTCGGAGTAACGTGGGTCGCCAGCGCGAGCTAACGTTCAAGTCGCTCTAGAAGGGCGGAGAATGTCCTTCGGGGGCCGGGACCGCGGCAGTCGGGTGGAGCGCAGCTTTCTCTATCCGACGTTAGCCTCCCCCGCTCCAAAACGCCCCCGGGGCCGCGGCAGGCGGTGAAAAATTCAGAAACCTTTTGTCTCTTCGATGTGCTGCTCGAGGGACGCGTCCGCGAGGCCGGGCCTGGCCGGCCGCTCTCCGTCGGCGTGCCGAGCGGTGTCGTTGGAGCGACGGCGGCAGCGGCGTCGTTCCGGACGCAGCGCCTCGCAGCGCGCCGCGCGGCCGGGCCTGCCGGGCCACGTCCAAAAACGACGCCCTGGAGGTCGGCGCGGCGCGTTCGGCTGCGGCGAGGCCAGCGAGTGCGAGGGAGAGAGACGCAGGACGAGGCAGCCACGGACGCACGCCGGGGCAGAGAGAGGGGGAGAAACCCCCCACCTTGTTCCCCGGGACCGCACCGCATCGTCCTGCCCGGCCCATGGCTTCCCTGGTCTGGTGTGTTTGGACCCCATCCTGACAGAACAGCCCAGCAGAGCAACGACGCCGGTTTGCAGTCTTGAGCTCATCGCACCGAACGTGACGAAGTGCCATGCCTTGGGTCTAGTAAACTACTAACAGCATCCTTGGTTAACTGCAGTTATCGAGCAGTCAATTATAGCCTCAGCGGCCAGACCGGGTATTGAACAAAATTTCAGGTCACCTAAAATGGGCGAGGAGGCCCGCCCTTTTCGTGTCTCTGATAAGCACCCTCACACGCACACACACACATTCACTCGCACCCGCACCTGATCGATGGCGCCTGGGAGTTAATTTAATGACGTCCGAAGACCAGAGGCCACAGAGATCATCCATTAGTGTCCCGTGCGAGAGAGACGGCGGGCGAACTGTCACTGTCACTGCACTGGCAGACCACAGGGCACGCCACACTGTAACGCCACACTGGGGGGCGGCTGGAGCCCAGCTCGGCGCTCGGCCCTCGCGACAGCAGCGACAGCTCGTCGCACTGCGGCCATCTGTGCGATTGGCTGCTGCACTGCAAAACCAGTGTCGGCTAATTTGCCGCCAGTGGCTGTTTCTATGCTTATGCATGCGTGGCTCTCGCGACAACCTATCCCCACGTGTACTGCACACTGATTCAGAGTGTCGTTCGCATGGAGGCCTCTGATTGGTCCACCCGAAATCCACCCGCGCAGTCTGCTGCTGCTGGCTTCCCCGGCGTGATCCGTCCAGTGTGCCTGTCCGGGCGCACTCGCTGCTCGTGCCAATCAATACGCGGAGTAGCAGTGCGTGCACACGGCAGCTCGGCCGCAGACTGATTCAGAGAGCCGTTTTCGTCGCTCTGTCTCTCTCGCACCCATGCCCCCGTGTAGGTGTGAGAGAGACAGCGACGAAAACGGCTCGGGCACGCAGCCCGGGCAGTAGGCAACCCAACCGGACGGTGTGCGTGGCGGCGCGGCGTCGCTCGGGCGCCTTGGCTGTCGCAGCTGTCGTCGCCAGGCCGGGCTTAGCGGGGCTGGGACTAGGCTGGGAGGGCGCACGGCCCCTGCATCGCGCCCTTCTTCTCGGCCCCCACCTGTTCCTCTGTTCCTCGGCGCACACGGGCCTTGTGTGCCGCGCGGCCCACCAGTGCCGCCGACAGGCCGACAGGCGAGCGGCCACTTGAACGCCGGGCGACTATTTTGGTCGACGAGAGACGCGAGGACGGAGACGGCGGAGTGCAGTAAATGCAGCGAGTGCAGCACCGCGTCGAAGAGGTCGAAGAGCAAGCGGCTGCACGTGTCTGACGACGCGCACTCGCCCGGGCAGACCGAGCCAACCTACCCTTCGCGCTGACTGCGCAGCCGGTGTGGCGCGCCGAGCCGGCCGATGCCTTCCTTGGTGTCGGTGAGCGCACTGCTCTAGACCGCCGCGGCGAAGCAGCACTTCCCGGTTCGCGAGCAAACGAACACTCCGAAGCCGCGCCACGCCGCGCCGCCCGGCACTGAGAACGGACCTAGGAACGACCTAGTGCTGCTTGCCGCGGCTTGCCGCTGGATCCACCCCTGCCCGACGCCCCCACGCCCCGACTGGCCCCCGACCTGTCGGCCCCGTCCCCATCCGTCCGCGGGGGCTTCGCGCAGTGGCGCCGTGCTGCCGACCAACCCCCTCGCCGCCCCCCGCCCCCACCCCCGACCCAGACCCACTGCCGTCACCGACAGTATGGGGTTACAAGCACGAAGCGAACCCCCTCCTTCCGGTGAGGGGGCAAGTGGGGGCAAGCGGGGCGGGGCGGGGGTGGCTGGGTGCAGTGGTATCGGTCTGGCCGCGGCACCTGAGTCTGTTCCACGTTATCGATGCTCTGGCTTTCGTATTTCCACGCTCTGTTCGGCTCGGCCACATTCGGCTCCGCTCGGCCCTGTTCGGCTGCCCGGCCGCCTCTGAGCGGAAAAGAATGATGTCACTCGCAGCCCGGACTTCTCCCATGTAGTACTCTCGTATCTTGCTGACATCTACTGAGCCTGAATATGGTCTAATGTTCGGATTCTACTGCCTTGAATGTCCAGGTCCAATGAAACAGACTGTCTTTTGTATGATTTCATGTAGGAGGGACTTCCCTTCAATAGAGGTGCCAGTTACACTGTATTTCTCAATTATTATGTTGTGTTTTAGTGTAATTTGAAACATGTAATTACACAGTCTGAACACATTGCAAAATGCACTGTGAAGGAAAAATCGCACTTTTAATTTTTTTACAACTTTATTTATTTGATTCTGGAAAAGAATTGCATGATATGTGATTGAGAAAAAAATGAAGACTCTATGGAATTTTACCAAACTGAACCACAAAAGCCCCTCCATGCCCCTTAGATACCAAACCTTATTTTGAACTTGAATTTCATTTTGCAAAATAATTGAAGTTTCTTTGACTTCTTTTGTATTTATAGAAACTTAGGTCACATGCAAAATCCCTCACAAACTTGGAGGAATATTTCCATTCAAACAAACCTTTTCCACAACCAATCTCAACTACTGAGCATTCGAAGGAAACCCACACACAGGTAAAAGTTCTCTGTAGTGTCGTCAGTACTCTCAGTCAGCAAGATATATTTTAAAGAGGCTCCACAGTTTGCAATGGAAGAAGAACAAACCACCATTTGAAAGCTTGTCAATGAATAATATTTCTACAAGTTTGGCTAATTGACAAGCAGCTACTCAGAAAATTAAATTTAAAACACCACATACCTTATTAGCCAGTTGTAGGAGATTTCCAGATGAGGTGCTTCCACCTGCAGCTGCGACTAGCTTCTGTAAAGAGTGTGGCTCAGGGCTGAGATCACGGGCCCCACTGTCAAATTCCCAGCTCTCATGCTTTCCCGCAGAAGTAGCACCTGCAGCATTTCATTTTGAGGCAACAGAAAAATGTTAGATATTAAATCTCAGTTACTTTCTTCACATTACTGTGAGTTTCATTTTGATTTACCAAGACTGTTGTCACTGCTGGTAGGCAGGTATTCAGTGCATTGATGCCTGGTATTAGAAGTGCTGCTACTACGCAAAGCATCAATTTCCGGCCGCAGAGCAATGCGACGTCGAAGAAATTCTTGATAAGATATTCTGCCATTTTCATCAGCTCCAAGCTCTCGCATTAATTCGTCCAATGAATCCTCCAGGTTGAGTTCACGACATACTGATAGCAAATCTTGACTGTCAAAGAAAACGCAGAGTTAGTTTCTCCCAATGAAGGATTCAAGAATAAATAAATAAATAAAAATTAGTACCTGTCTATGAAACCATCACCATCACAGTCACAAGCCTGAAAGAGTTTGCGGATTCGTTCTTCCTCACAGGTTGAGTTGGCATCTTCACTTTCTCCACAAGCCTCTAAATGCTGTTCAGCCGATTCCATTGTAGTATTGTCTTCTAAGACACAAATATTTGAGAAGCTGTTGCTAATAGACAGAAATTTAGTCTAACCCTCCTTCTCTGAGCTGTAAACAAAGCAAAACTTATGTATGAGGAATGTTAAAAATCAAAAGAGTCTTAACTATGTTGAACAGGAAATAGTATCAGGTTAAATCTTCATGCATCAACATATCAGGTTTCATACATATTTATTGAGGAAACTTACTGAACTAAGTTGTCTGGCCAGGTTCTTCTCTCTACTTTGAGTGTTTTATTTTTAACTTGAAGACCCAAGCAGGCGATGTCGAGAACAGGTCAGAACCAACTAAAAGTTATCACGAAGAAAGCAATAGACTGCGAATAATGTGTCAGTCACTGAAACAATGAAATTGCCCCATTTGATTTGTTTTGATTCAGCCTTTGCGTTGACAGCGAAAACTCACATTGACAGTCCCCTGCGATATTCGCAGCAGTGCCGTGGGTGCCCGACCTGCCGATAGTGAGTGGAGCTTCTCTCTCTGTCCGATGGGTGGCGCTGGTGTCCTGCTCTCCGCGCACGGCGGGAAAGGCGGGCTTGGACGAAATGGGGCGGGTGTCCGCGCGAGACCGCAGTACTTTGGTTAAGGCGCTTTCGTCAGTCCGTCCGGAGACGAGTATGCTCCTGTTACAAGTGACTAGTTCGCATTGAAATGAGGTACTTCAACCAATTATTCAGGTGAATTTGCAGTCGGTTTATTTGGGTACAGATCACAAAAATATATTCTTCTCCCCAAAGAATGTACAGAATACAAGGAAAGAAATCCCTTTTACAAACAGAAATATCAGTAGGACAAAATAATAAATACGTTTGTGTCAAGACATCTGATACAGAGTCTATAAAATTACCCGTTACACTCCAGCTTAGCAACGTGGCAGGTAGCTCCAGCTTTAACGGCCTAAGTACAGGGGCACAGAATAAGCGTTAACATTTTCAACTTAACTTAATTGAATCAGTCGTCTGTAGCACAGCTGACTTAAATGCTTCAGCTCAGTCAAGTCAACTCTATCACAGCTGGCTGTTTGTGGCAGTCCATTTTTCACACGACTCCTAAGACGACTCGTCCTCGCTGCTGCTCTTCTTGGCCTCCTTCGCACCGGCCGCAGCGAGCTTCTTGACCTTGCCCGCCTCGGGGCTGTACCCCCAAACGATGAGGGCGAGGTGCTGCTTCGAGGGCTGCCCCTTGCTGGTGTACAGGGGCTCGTTGTCCTTGTTCAGCTTCTCCACCAAGGGCTTCAGGTTCCTGTTGCGGTGGATGTCCCAGGTCGTGTCGGCGCCGTCAACCTGGAAGCACCAGACAGGGAAGGGTTAAACCACGGGGTAAACCTCCACCAGTGGCGAATCCAGAGCCAGCCGGAGGGGGGGGGGTACCTTTCGCCCTGTACAGGGGCTAAGGATTGCTTTTTGCCTAGCGTTCAGGCGGCTGTCTACGGGTCAAAAGGTCAATTGCCCCCATCCCCACCCCCTCTCTGGATCCACGATTGCCTCTCGTCATACGCACCTTCTTCACCCTGAGCTTCTTGAGGTCGCCGTCGGCCTCCTCGTACACCTGCAAGAAGGTGGGGCCCTTGCCGTTGAGGACGCCCTGCTCCTTGGCCAGGCGCTCAAACGCGTGCACCGTGTCCAGCGGCAGGTAGCCGAAGTTCTCCTTGGACCTACACAGAGTCATACAGCTACTGGTACAGCTACTCCAGACAACCCCGCGCATCACCAATTTCTCTGCTTTCGTCCCAAAGGACGTACCTGGAGTGGGTCTTGTAGTCGTCCAGCCAATCCTCGAAGGTGGACACAGCCTCCTGCAAGTTCTTCACTTTCTCAGCGTCCTTGGTCCTCTTGAGGATGACTTTGGCGCGGTTGAACATGGAGTTGATCACCTGCAACACAAACCGTTGCCTTGAGGCCGCTTGCGCTGAGAATAAAAACTTTATGAAGCCAAGGGCGAGCTCGGGAAGGATGCTTTCGCAGGATGCAGAGTCCGAGGCTTCCGCGAGGCCGGGCTAAGTCGTGGGCCGTGGGCGAGCCCAGGCGAGCCGCGTGGAGGGGGTCGAGGCCGCCGAGCTGGACGTGGCTAGACATGGCGGGAACGGAGTAACCCGGCCTTCGCGGCACGCTGCGGCTTCCTCCGCGAAAATGTTGTCGGCTCTGCCCGGCGCAACGACCTACCTGGTACTGATAGTTGATGTCGCGGCCGTCCAGCAGCTTCAGGGTCTCCTTGGCCTTCTCCTTGTCCTTGAAGCCGCCCCCCGTGAAGGTGGTCTCGGTGTTCTCGGAGCCGAACAGCTGGCCGCCCTGCCAGCCGGAGCCTTCGCTCCGCCGCTCCGCCGTGGACTCGGACTTGACCTTCGGCATGGCCTGGACGCGGACGCGGACCTGCAACCGGAAGCGTGTGACGTAGGGCTGCGTCCGGCACGGCGGCACGCTTCCGGCGCGGCGACCCGATGCGCGACTCGGGCGGCTTGACTGGCCGAGACGCGAAAAGCCAATCAGGGCGACTTAATAATGGAAGCGAGGATTTAATGAGTAATCGGCACACGCGCGGAGGAAGGGGCAATGTAATGGAGGGGGCGACCGGCCGCCGTCGCCGGGCAGCGTCTCCGAGTCTGTTCCAACTTCGCTCCCGAAAACGCCTGCCCTGACCGGAAGTTCCGTTTGAGGCGGGGAAACGTAATTAACAACGGAGCAGCTGTAGACGCAAGGCCAGTCGGAAGGCTGGGCCAAAAAATTTATGGGTTGGCTTTGGGTGGACAGCTGGGAGGTCACATGGAGAAACAGCGCGGTGGACACGAGCCCCCGCTACCGGCTACTACTTCAAAACGAAGGGTGACATCACCGCGGCCAGCCAGACGCCCCCCCCCCCTCCCGCAGCTCGCGCCGCGGAGTAGGGACCACGGATAACCCGCGGGGATAAGCTGCGACCCCCGTCCGAAAAGAACACGCCGATTTGTCCCGAGCGGAGCCGAGCGAAGCACGAAGCCGGCTCACCTTCGGGCCAACAAGCTCGCCGAAAAGCTCGCGCCGCCACTCGATCAATCGATCGGAAACTCTTTAATAGGCCCGCATTTCTTGTGGACCGCACCGGCCCTTTGTCCGGATAGAAGTAGAAAAACGCGGGTTCGAATCCCCGCACAGCCGAAAGATTTGTTTCCCCAGCGGCACCTTGAACTCATTTTATAGAGCTATTTCCCACCCTGACCACCTCATTTTTGTAGGCGGGCCGCATGAATGTGTTGAGAGTGTGAGGCGGAACGGCGTTGGCCCCGTGCCTCGCTCCGCCCGCCCCGCCCCCTTCACCGTGGTCTTGGTGAAAACAGTCACGCGCGCTATGCCGACAAAGTAACTATCTAGATGCCGTTCGAACCGAACCAGCGTCGCCTGAATGTCAATATGTACCGGCGCTGAGGACGAACGACGAACGGACGGATAGATGGTATGAACAGACGGACAGACGGACGGACCCCTCTCGGGCGCGGCGAGGTGCGCGTTTTGGCGGTCTTGGCCCCCAGGCTGAATGGAATGAGAGGTTTAGCCGTGGTCCTCTAGATGGCCATCGGGAACGGCCGCTTCTCAAGTCGAGATCGAGAGGCCGTGCGCAGCCACACCAAACATTGTTATTGCTGTGGAAATCACCTTGACCGCAGCGCCAACCAAGGGACACCCACTAAGAAAGGTAACTGGCGTAGGAAAAGAAATTTTTAGAGAACGTACAGAAACAGAAACGAAACCTTCTGAGATTGAGCCGCGGATTGAGCTGAGCTCAGAAGCACGCCCTGTGGGGACTTCCCTACCACTACCGTTACACAGTTGAATGAAAACTAATTTCGCACTGTCCTCAATTTCAACATAGAGCGCCCGCCCCTGCGTTTTGGTTGCACTCCTGCTGTGCAGTACTCACCTTCTTCCGCTGACACTAGTTCGTGGGTACCGGTCTCGTCCACGCACCGCCAAAACAACGATTGAGCAGTGGGCTAGCGAGCTCGAGCTTCGGGCCGGCAGCAAGCAACGGCGAGCCGCCGGCCAACCTGTGCGGAGGGAGCGGCGTCCTCGCCCCTCCCCCTCCCCTCCCCCTCCCCCTCCCCCTTCCCCTTCCCACTCCGCGTCTCCCCCGTGCTCTCCTCTGCGCCTCTCGTCCCCGGCCATACAGCACAGCACCTTTTCAGCCATTCCGTCCGTTCGCACGCGGACATCGTCTTGTTGTCATTTCATGTTCTTGCTGTTGTTCCTCGTGCTCACCTTCGCCGTCCTGGAGCACGATGGAAATAGGCCTGGCGTCACAGAATGACGTCATCTCTCCCAGCTCCCGGAGAAAGAGGAGCGAAAACGGCGGGAAACGGGCAGGGCGCCTGCGAGGCTCGCCGCGCAGTCCCGTAGAGCTCGGCCGCGCGACGGATTGCCTACCCGCACGGCGCGCTGCCAGGCTGGCTGGGCAGTCCCGTAGAGCTCGGCCGCGCGACGGATTGCCTACCCGCACGGCGCGCTGCCAGGCTGGCTGGGCAGTCCCGTAGAGCTCGGCCGCGCGACGGATTGCCTACCCGCACGGCGCGCTGCCAGGCTGGCTGGGCAGTCCCGTAGAGCTCGGCCGCGCGACGGATTGCCTACCCGCACGGCGCGCTGCCAGGCTGGCTGGGCAGTCCCGATGAGCGCGAATGGCCGGCACCCGATTAGCCCCCGCCGGCCGCGCCAGAGCCCGTTGAGCCCGCTTCGCGAGGCCCCGGATCGTAGCCCGCTGACCCCGATGGCCGACTGCCCGACCGGGGATTTCGAGCCCTGCCTGTGCCTTTCGGCCCCTGATTCCGGGCATGCCGAGTGACGGGCGCATCGAGACCCTAATCAAAGAAGTGTCAAGTTAATTCTTTGACCTGCGTCAAATTGAAAGTTAAAATAGTGAAATTCTTTCTTAAGTTCCAGTCTATCAAAACCGGCCGTGGGAAATTAGAAAATTCCGTGGCAAACGAGATGTGGGACAATTGAATTCTTAGACTGGACAAATCGCCAATCAATAACCACTTTGATCGGGTACTTGATGATGGGGAGTGAATCCGTTGAGCTACCCGATGCTCAGCCTTAGGGATTACTAAATAGTAACTTTGCTTGTCATCCTATAGAAAAGGTCCCTGCTCCCAATAACATGAGCCGCGGGAAAAGGGTACTTCGAGTACGTGGATTTAGGAAGCGAAGAACCTGGTTTGCGTGTAAGAGCCAACACCCCGATAACTGGATTTGGGACCTGAGACCTGGGTTTCCAGTGGCCTGGATCCGCGTGTTGCTAGTCCACACGCAGTGCTAGTACTCCGCTCAAGTTCACCGAGTCTGTTGTTAGACCAAGTGCCCAGCTGAACCCGCGCACCTTGTCCAAAGTCGAGGGGCTCTCCGCGAGTAACCCAAGAGTCTCGCGGAGGTACTTTTCGTCAAGACACAGGGCTCGCCGCGCGCTCCTCCCCCAGCAGCGTGTCTCCCCGCCCCCTCCAGTGCCGCTCGGGGTCGAGCGAGCTCGCTGGAAGGCATCGGGAGCCTGAGGCCTCCTCCCCAGGTCTCCTCCGTGGTGCAGTTGGCAGCGTCTCGGTCCACAAAGACGGTCGTCCTGGGTTCCAATACTAACCAGTGTTCTTCTTCAGCGTTCTGTGTACGTGTGTGTGTATGTGAGTGTGTATGTGCGTCTGTGTGTGTACGAGTGTGCGTGTGTGCGAGACTGAATAGGATCCGCCATCCAGGTACCTCCCCCTCCCCGGCGCCTTAATGGGAGGGACGGTTCGGCACGATTTCGGCATACCCGGCAAGCGTCCGGCATTGCCGAAAATCGGTTTATTTTCCAACAAAATGATCGTTTTTCGGCAAGCCCGGACTCCTGGTTCGGGGCGGATTTCGGGCGTGCCGGCCGGGCATGCCCGAAATCCTGCCGTCACCCGGCACGATTTCGGGCAAGATCATTTTTAAACGGGAGCTCGGCCGCGCGACGGATTGCCTACCCGCACGGCGCGCTGCCAGGCTGGCTGGGCAGTCCCGTAGAGCTCGGCCGCGCGACGGATTGCCTACCCGCACGGCGCGCTGCCGGCCTGCTGCTCGGGTGCATTGTTCCCGTTGCGCGAGTGTACCCGTTGTAGTCCTGTGCCGCCCTCTACTCGAGGTATGTCTGAACTGTACCACCACCTGCTGGATCGTCAATCCGAATTACATCACTGTCCAGCCAAATCGTGTCCTCCTTTTCCACCACCCAAGTTCCTAACACGACACGGTACCAACTTTGTGGCAACCAACATGCTCGTTCGAGACAGGTGCTCTTCCGTTGTCGCGCGCGAAGCGGTAGATTCGGGCGGGAATACCTTCTTCAAGAAAAAGCCATGCAACAACGGACTGACTACGATATTATTTACAAACGCCTTACAGGCCAAAGACAATGGAGTAAAACACGATACACATGATGGAAACAGTACTCTGAAAAGCACAGTAGGAACGAAAGAGAAAGACTTGGAGACAGGAGGTGACTAGACGGTGGACGGTCGCTGCAGGGCGGCCTGGGCCATTGGCTGGGCCACTGGCTGGGCCACTGGCTGGGCCACTGGCTGGGCCACTGGCTGGGCGTGGCAGGCGCGGCGCGCGGCGTCCGGCTCCTCAGCAGACGCAGCTCCCCAGGCAATGGTACGCGCCGTCCAGCTTGGACACCAGGCCGTCTTCCGGCGACGCCCCGGGGGTGCCGCCCCCGACAGTGCCGACGCCGGGGCCTCCGGTACCTCTGGCCGGGTAGCTGCTGCAGCTGCTGTCCCCGGACGGCCGGCTGTCCAAAATGCTGCCGGCACAACAGAAAACGGAAGCAGTCAGTGGAGAACAAGAGAGGGAGGTTCGCATTTGTAGGTTTGGACCGAGTCCGTGGTGGCTAAGCAGTCAGTGAAATAGGCCCTTTTCATAGAGAGGACTCCTTCACACCACAGATGACGTCACCAATTGGCACCGCACCCGGCGATACTCCGTGACGCCACCTTCTCCTGCGCCCCGCGCGGCCGTGTGGCGGCCGTGGCGGGCCGTGGCCATACCCCACGTCCCGCTACACTGACCTGCCAGCGCAGGACGGACTGGTGCTGCCCTCCGACGGCCGGTTCCCGAAACCAGCGGGCCCGTGGGCCAGGGCGGGGAGGACTGGGGCGCCGAGCTTGTGCGGACTGTCCAGCGGCGAGGGGCCGTGGGGGCCGTGGGGGCCGTGGGGGCCGTGGCCGTAGCAGGATCCAGGGTACCCGGGGAACTCCTGCGACGTCGGCTGGTACGGGTAGTAGCCGACCCGGCCAAGCTCAGGGAGGTACTGCAAACCGAAGTGGAAACAGGGGCTGCAGACAGAGCGCCTCTCCAGGAGATCTCTAGAATCTTGAAGGACATCGGCGGCGGTCTACTAACGAAAGCCCCAACAATGAGCTCGAAGCAGGTGCGAATCCAGAGCGGTTGTAATAGGAGCAAGTACCGCTCCTTGCGCACGAGTTATGCGGCCGGGAAGGTGGGTAAAGAACCCTACTTTCCCCTGTGAGTTGCCAAAGAGCGCTCCATTGCACCCTCCACAGAAACACCCTGGATCCGCACCTGAGTCGAGGACAGACACGACGGACAACGGGCAAGCCAATGGTCGGAATGGCTTCCACACTGGCATTTGAACAGCAACGTCGGAAAGAGTACCTGCAGGGGCCGTAGCTGCGAGTACGGCTGTCCGTAGGCGGCCAGCACGTCACTGTAGGAGGCGGCCGGCGGCGGGGCTGCGGGGGCGGGGCCGCTGGGCGGGGCCGCCAGCTCCTTGGCCCCGCCCTCCACCGCCCCCGGCACGCCGCCGCCGCCGCCACCCCCGCGGCCTGCCACGGAGAAGCTGGAGCTGGGGGGCGGCGGCGCGGACGGGGCCCCTCCGACGTCCTGCCCCCCACCAGCGTGGCCCCCCGCCCCCGGGGGCCCCTGGGACGCCTGGGCCGCGCCGTACGCCATGCTGAAAAGGGCGTCTGGATCGCACACGAATTTGTACACGTAGCGCTCCCCTGGAACAAAAATATCACAAAAACGGAGTGAAATGGTGAAAACATGAGATGAGGCGAGAATGAATTTTATTCCGCTGTAACACCGTCGATTTACCCACTCAGAAATGCTGTGCCATCGTTACTGAGCTATTGCTCTGTACAGCACTTAACTAATCCATAATAATAGTCAAATTTGTTCGTAGTAGAACCCTTCAGCATGGGTCCGTGTAGCGGACTGCCCGCCCACCCGGCGCCGTGCTCCTCTGGCGGCAGACAGCACCTCGCCGTCCTCAGGCGTTGCAACCCAACTCGTCTCACGTCGAGCCGATTCCGAGGCAAGGTGCACGCAAGGTGCACGCGGCCCTACGCTGGGTTTGGGAGTGACGGCAGTGACGGCAACGAGGGAAAGGGAAGGACCACACGGCGGGGGGCGTGCAGTCGCTGCAGTCGCCTTGTCACCACAAAGACAAAGCAGGCCTCACTCGCCGCCAATGGCCGTGGCAGGCTGATCCCGCGCGGCGCTTCTTCGCTCCGTCTCTCTCGCACTTGAACGCATCGCCCCGTGAGTGCGAGAGAGGCAGAGCGACGTTTGGAGCGGCTCCGCGGGCAGCGACAGCGAGGCGACGGGAGGGCGTCGTCGCGGAGGGCGTCGTCGCGGAGGGCGTCGTCGCGGAGGGCGCGACGTGCTCGATGGAGTGAGCGGCTAATTTGGCGGCCGAGGCGTCCAAGGCATCTGCAGACTGATGCCGGACACTGGACACTATCTCTCTCGCACTCGAGAGCCGCTACACTGGGGTGCGAGAGAGACAGAGCGGAGTGGCACTGCAGGGCGGCCACAAAGGGGAAGACAATGGAGAGGGATGTCCATTGGGTCAGTGAAGGCGCCGCGCGCGCCGCGTCGCCGCGTCGAGGGGAAGGCAAGGCCGGCAGGGCCCCACACTGCGAAAACCGCCAAAACGCAGACTAATGAAGCGTCCAGTTGTCTCGTTGAATCATTGCTCACGGACGGGCCCCCGACGGCCCCCAGCAGACTGACTCAGAGAGTCGTTTTCTTCGCTCTGTCTCTCTCGCGTCCACAGGGGACGCCCCTTGAGTGCGAGACAGACGACCCTCTCGGCGGGGGATGGATGGGGATGACCGCACAGCACACTGCATTGCTTTTGATTTCTGAAGGCCGCCGCGGCCGCTGCCTTGCCCGCTGCCCATCCCCCGTCATGTGCCACTGGCACGGCCACTGGCACGGCCACTGGCACGGCCACTGGCACGGCGAAGAAAGAAAGGGAGGACGCGAGCCCTCCCACTCACACTGCGTCTGTGCGCGCTTGTGTGCGTGTGTGCGAACGTCGCAGGCACAAATATTGTTCTTTTCCCTTATTTCGCCTGATATGATGCGAGTTTTGGACGGACCCCTCAAGCATGCCCTGCACTGCCTTCTCGGCACGATATTGGACGAGAAAAAACACAAAGTTACTCGAAATACAAGAGCGGCCCCGTGGAAAGCAAATGCACTACCGCCAAACCCGCGCAGGTAACAGTTGACTTATTTACCAAATAAAATAGCACTGGCGTAGCTAAAAGTCGTTCAAGAAGGCGAAAACAAAAATGATCCGTACCTGCCACCTTCTGCATGATGCCCTTCTCGTAGTAGTACCGCAGCGACCGACTCAGCTTGTCGTAGTTCATGGCCGGCCGGTTCTTCTGCAGGCCCCACCTCCTGGCCACCTGAAAGGCGAGCATAATAGTATGCGTAAAATTGCACAAATTTATGCGCAAATCTGAGCGCAATCTTATGCACAACGGTACACAGATACACAGGTTAATAATGTATAACCACGTACAAAATTGTCCATAAACATTTAGCGTGCGACAGTGTAGTGGCGGCTCACCTCCTCGGGCTCCACCAGCTTGAACTCCAGGCCGCGCCCGGTCCAGGCGATGCAGGCCGCGGACGTGGGGTCGTCCAGCATGGCCACCAGGAACTGCCACAGCTGCAGGGAGCCCCGGCGCTGCGAGCCACCGCCGCCGCCGCCCTGGCCGCACGCCCCCGACGCGGCGCTGGGCGCGTCCCAGGCCGACGTCACCGAGCACGCCGACGGAGGACGCGCCGGGGAGTCGCGCTTGCAGTCTGGAAGCAGAGCCACCGACAAACTGAACATCGTGCAGCGTGCCTGCATGCACACTGTCAAAGCGAATTGAATCAAAGTGAACGAAATCCGATGCGAGGAATTTTATCGCAAACTGCGGAGTGAGTTGGCCGTACCGTCGGAGGAGGAAGACCGCTCCCTGGCCGCCGACACGGCCACGCTGAAGGGGTCCGGCCCGGGGAAGCCTGCCAATCAGAACGGGAGGAATGAGGAAAACTGGCGAGCAGCTCCTCCACTGTAAAACGCGCGGATCGGTCACTTGACGCTCACTTGGCCCGACTTTGCATTAGCACCACTTGCTGCCGAACTGCGCGGCAATTCCCGGAGGAGGGGGAGGGGAAGGGGGAGGGAGGACCGGGCAACCTTTGTCGCATTGAAATATTAATGAGCGAAAACAACTCTTGCTTTCTCTGTCCCACCTGAGGGAGGGATGCCTTTTTTTTGCATTTTTGTTTGTTTGCCCTTCTGCTTAAATCGGTGGCGCGCTCTCCCACGCCCAGAAAAAAAAATTAAAACGTTTTCATAATTTGTTTACTTTGGTCCCACATTTCTTTTTCTGACAAATGTTGAGGAAAACCAGTACCGGAATTTTTATTCTTATGACGAAGAAAAAGACGAGTAAGAACTTTGTAGAGACGATCGGTTTGGGACGATCTGGATCGTTTCAACTGTCGGGATGTTTTGCAGGTTTGACCTGGCCGTCCCTGGCCGGGGCGTACCAGAGGCGTACCAGAGGCGTACCGTGGGAGGCCGTGCCGGGCCGCTGCACGGCGGGTGGTCGAATTAAATCCGATAAAACTGCGCAAGCCAACGCACATAAGCCCCAGAACGGACCTCGGCAGGGGAGGGGGTGGAGGTCAGACGGGGCGTGGGTGAGGGTGAGGGGTGCGGGGAGCGGGGTGCGGGTGCGGGGTGCGGGGTGCGGGGTGCGGGTGCGGGGGGCGGGGTGCGGGTGTGCGGGGTGCGGGGTGCGGGGTGCGTGTGGGGTGCGGGGAGCGGGCGCGAGGCGGCGCCAGGCGAGAGGGGCTCCATGATGGGACCCGCTTAATTATTGACGGAATAGCTTCGCAAGATTTCAGGCGGATTTTAGCGAGCCCGTTTCGGTTTCGAGTTTCAATTTCTTGCAAAAGGGTTGTCGAGCGCATCATCATCATTGTGGCGGTGGTGGTGTGGTGGAGGGTGCGTTGAGGAGAGAGGGGGGAGGGGGAAGGGGGAGGGATGAGTATGAGGTGCTCGCAGTGTCAACACCAACCGATTTCGAAACATCGCGGCAAGCGCGGATTCGGCCCCTACAAACCAGGCAAAATGCAACACTGTAAGTAGGCAAAAAGAGCTACACCTCCCCCCCTTTTTTCTCCTCTGGCCGTCTCTGGATCCGCCACTGCACTTCGGCGCGCAGCCCTATATGGAAGTTGCCAAAATTGTGGGTCCTTTTGTGTCTTTGGGCCACAGTTTCCTTATTTTTCAACGTATCGACCTGCGGTTTGATTCCTATGATTGGGCTTCATCTCCCCTGCTATCCCACCCACTAACGGAGCATGCAGGTCAAGCATTTCCCTGTCAAAACAGGCCAAAACTGGGCAAAATGTAACTTCCGTGCTGTCCACACTGTGGCAAAAAGGTACGGAAAATCCTGTTAATTTTTTTGCCAGGATTCTCCGTAGCCCTCTTATCAATATTCTCCGTAGGCTCTTACAGTATTCTCCGTAGGGCCGCACAGTATTCTCTGTAAATCCGCACAGTCTTCTCCGTAGGACCTCGAAGACTGTATAGTCCTACGGAGATCACTGTGCGGTCCTACGGAGAATACTGTGCGCTCCTACAGAAAATACTGTAAGAGCCTACGGAGAATATTGATAAGGGGCCTACGGAGAATTACCACAAGCTGTTTACAGAATTTTCCGTAGCTTTTTGCCACAGTGCATTGTCCAAAAAGTCCGTGTTCCAAGGCGAAAATCTCCTGAACTATTTGTCGGAGAGCAAATCCGCGAACAGCCTTTTGTTCCGTTGGCAACCCTTTATGACACCCTTGGATAGCAATTTCTTCCAGTGACTCTCACCTCCTGCTTTATTGGATGAAAAAATGTCCACCGTGTACTGGATTTCAAACATCGTCAGCTTTAGTTTCGCGCCTCAGCGCCGAACCTGTAGCGGGAAAAGTTCGGCTCAGCGTCCAGAATCAGCAGCACGGTTTCCTCTTTCCAGCGCGGTAGGCGGATTTTCGCTGGAGGGCTCCATTCCGGCTAGCTAGACCATCGAAGGTAAAAATCCGGCATGTGTCAGGTTTGTGTGTAACATTCCGTGTCATCAATAGCGAGCTTGCTACTCGACCTATCGACTTCGGTCCACCTGGCCATTTTGCGCTTTCACGTCTTTTAAACTTTAGGCGAGACACCCGTTCGATTTGGTGAACGGGTTGGTCCGTTTTCACGGTTTGTTTGATGATGTAACTTCCGTGCCATGCACATTTTCGGTAACTTCCGTGCCATTCCCCCATGTAAAGTATAGGGGAAAAATCGAAGTGCGAAAAAATTCTGGCCTCCTTCGGAAATGCGTTTAGAATGACCCCTAAAATACAGGAAAAATACTAAAAAAAATTTAGAACGATATATTTTTTTCATTTTTTTAGGAGCCAAAAGGACCCACAATTTTGGCAACTTCCCATAAGCGGCCGGCTCGCTTTTCGGCAAGGTTTACAGGGCCGAGTACACCGAGAACACGGATCACACGGACTGAGCGGCGTGGGGCCAATCGCGCGGCCTGCCTCGCCCGCCTCGCCCGCCTTGCCGCCTTGCGCGCAACAGGGAGGGAGGAGGGAGCATCGCCGGGCAGGGCAGGGCAGGGCAGGGCAGGGCAGGGCAGGGCAGGGCAGGGCAGGGCAGGGCAGGGCAGGGCAGAGCCAAGCGCGCCCCGAGGGAGTCCCAACAAAAGGGGAACAGAAAAACAGATTTGTCGGAATGCACACAACAACAGCGTCAATCAATCATTAACACGACCCGATCCGCGGCTCCGCGGCTCCGCGCGGCTTTTCCCAGCCACAATGAGACCGATATTGATAAATAGTGGCTCTGGCTTGGCGGCGTTTTCGGAGAAAGGAACGCGACGAAAGGGAAGAATAGCAAAGGCGGCGCCGCGCTCTGAAGGTGAACCGATAAGGTTTGCCTTCAAAATGTTACTTGAACGTGGCGACAGTTTCTTCACAAATGGATTTAATTTTCATCAAAGCTCCCATCGCACGGGCGTGACAACAATGGCATAAACAAGCCTCACGACATTCTTGGGAGGAAAATAAGCCGAGTGGCAACAAAAAGACTTGACCCGCAAAGAGTTTTTAAGTCGGATGGCCGCACGCAGTGCGACGCAGTGCCATTCCAGACCGGAGGGCGAAATCAACGCCCTCCTCCCCGTCGGGCACGGCAGGCTGCCTGCAGGGCTGGGAGCTTCACCTGCCTGCCTGCCTGCCTGCCTGCCTGGCTGCCTGCCTGCCTGCCTGCCTGCCTGCCTGCCTGCCTGCCTGCCTGCCTGCCTGCCTGCCTGCCTGCCTGCTGCCTGGCCTGGCCTGCCTGGCTGCCTGCCTGCCTGGCTGCCTGCCTGCCTGCCTGCCTGCCTGCCGGGCGGCCTTCTCGCTGAGCGATGGTGCGATGGTCTAATGGATTAGGCTTTGGGCTAATAATTGTAAGCGGCCTGGCTTCTTCGCCCCCACGGAGGGGTGCACTATGTGCAGTGGGGTGATGATAGCCCCGTCATATTTTGATGGCTCAAAATTATTGTTAACTCCTAAACGATCCAGAGCAAAAATCATCGCCCGGCGGCAGAACCGCCACCAGTCGGACACAGCACTGTAAAGGCGCGAGTCATATGTGGGGCCGGGTTTCCGAAATGCGCGCGGGAATGCCGCAAAATAAAGGGTATTACCGCCAGCCGCTGTGGAGGGAGAAGGGAGGGGGGGCCTCCACGGTAAGGACGTTAAAAGCTTGGCTGTCTATTATTCATCAACGCTGGACGGCTCGGCTCGGCTCGGCTCGGCTCGGATCAACTCAGCGAGTTCTGCCGAGTTCGCGGGGAGTACCACCATGATGCCAGCCAGCCGTGCAACTGCAGAGAGCGGACCCTTGCCGTCAAACGCCGTGAAATTGGAGGCGTCGGCCGCCCCGCTGCCAATATCTGCTTCGGCTGGCTGGCTGCCTGACTGGCTGGCTGGCTGCCTGGCTGCTTGGCGCGCGTGCCTTGAGCCAACACCCCGCGGCGTGGAGTCAGTCTGGGCCGCGATCACAACCAGGGGGAGGGGGATGCCCGCCATGGCGGAGGGGGCGGGGGTGAAAGAGAGAAGAGCAGCATGTCGATCTTGTCTAATTACCCGCCCCGATGGTCTACATCGCATATTACGGGCAAACACTCGCGGCGCTGTTTGCCGGGGCGGTCTGGCCGGTCTGGCAGGGCTGGCAGCCGCCGTGCGCGTTGCGTCGTGTGCGTCGTGTGCGGCCGCGGCCCCGCGCCCTCCACCGCCTCTCCGAGGACGGCGAGTCGCACGTACTCCTCCCGAAGTGCACAGCGTCGAAGGAGAGCGACGATTCCGCACGCCGTGTTTCGTCGCCCTGTCTCTCTCGCACCGCTAGAGGATGCCGCACGCGTGCGAGAGAGACAGCGATGGAAAGGGCCGCCGTTCGGGACCAGCCCGCCGAGGCAAATCCAAGAAGGTGCGCTTCATCCACAAGGCGCGGTGATGAAAACAAATAAATTGAAAGAAAAAGGGAGCGAGTGATCCGAGACACGGCACGCGGCAGGGACGCGGCGGGCACGGCGCGCGAGCTGAAGCTAGAATCACAGTGGTGGCAGCCGGGCCACGGCCGGCGGGTGGGGGTTGGTATGACAGGAAGAGGTCGATGCATACACAATTTCCTGGCAATATTTACCCTGACGAAGCTCTTTCATCGGCCAAGACGTGACGAACATGCCGCCCTTCGGCTGCGTGCCCGGCGTGCCTGGCGTGCCTGCAGGCCTGATTAGGCCGCGCCACCACATTGTCGCGGCGGTACCACTGGGAGAGGGAGGGAGGCAGGAGAGAGGGGGTGGAACGAGGTGCGCGACGTACTCGACGCGGGGCACGGCGTTTCGCACAGCGCGTCTCTCTCGCGCCTGTCCGGGACGCCTGTAACGACCGCGAGGAAGGCAGAGCGATGACAGGCTGCCGCCGCTGCCGCCGCTGCCGCCGCTGCCGCCGCTGCCGCGGGCGAGCGAGCGATGCCACCCCTGTGTGGTTGGACCTGCTCTCCAGGCGGCCTGTCCTGCACGCCGCCCGCCAGCAGTCTCCGCAGACGCGGCTCCGTCAAATTTGCGGAGGAGCGGGTCAAGCCTTGCTTTTTGCTTACATTATGTGTTGTAATTTGCCTCCCTTCCAGGCGGGTGTCTACGTAGAAAAACGAGGGGGGCGGGGAGACTGGAGAAAAAGCACCAGGAGCGCGCGGGGCGGCGCGGGGCGGCGCGGGGCTCATCCACGGAGTGCACGTCGTGCTCCGCGACTCGCGGCACGCATTCGCCGATCGCTTTCGCCGCGGGCGATTTTTATTTGATTATCTCTGCAGGGCGAGGAGGAAGTGCGCGGCGCGATGGAGACGTCGGCGGGGCGGGGCGGGGCGGGGCGGGGATGGGATGGGTGGGGTGGGGCGGCTCGAGGGTAAATGAGGAGGAAGGGACACGGATCAGAGGCCGTGGCGGTGGCGCCGCCCGGAAGCAGCCGCCACTTGTCGCACCTTGCGGTGCTTTGAGGTTCTCGGCGTTCTCGGCTCCTCGGCCGCGCTCCTCCCTGCACGCTCTCGGCCTGCACGGCCTGCGCGGCCTCGGCCGCAGCGGGCGGTCGTGCGGTCTCCCCTCGCTTCACTTGAGGTCGGGCTGCAAATGCCCCTTCGGGAGCAGGCCGAGGCCCAGGCCGAGGCCCAGGCCGGCTTGCAAGCCCCTCAGGGAGACTCGCTTGCCCCAAGTCTTACCCCGTGCCGGTCGAGGCCAGAGCGACGGGCCTGCACTGCAGGGCGCCGCCTTAACCACTTCTGTCAATCGAGCCGCCGCGGCTCTTTGGAGAAAAACGAGAAAAAATTGGAATCTTAAGGTGGGATTCGAACCCCGACACTCACCGAGCTCTCGCTGCTCGCGCTGCTCGCGCTGCTCGCGCTCGTAGCCGCGGTCGCACGGCTCCTTCTTGACGGTGATGGCGGAGTACGGCGAGCCCAGCGGCCGCGCCCCGGACGACCTGGAAGCAGGGCAGGGCAGCGAGATTCAGGAGAGAAAATCAGAACGCGACGCTGAGGGACCGAGCCGAATAACGCCTTCAGCCTTCGGCGCGCTTCGGCGGCCTTCGGGCCGAGGGATCCCTCGCCAGCCAGCTAATTAGCATGATAATGAATGTACGCCATAATTATCACCATCAGAAACCTGGGCTGTTACCATTATCCCCTCATGAAACATGCACCGACACTCTCAATTGTTAATAAAGCCTCGACGGCAAGGGGTAGTCCCCTCCCCTCTTCTCTCCTCATCTCTCCTCTCCCCTCCCCTTTCTCTCCTCTCCTCTCTCCGCTACCCTCTGCTCTCCCATTCTCTCCCCTCTCCTCCCCTCTCTGCTCCCTTCTTTTCTTCCCACCCTTTCGGAGCTGATGAGGTGAAGGTAATTAAGTGATGTTGCCCGGCGGCCGCTTGTTGAGTTAAGCTACTTGCCAGTTCACCAACAAAGAGGTGAGCGATTAAATTTTCATGTGTGATGCGGTCATATAATTTCATCGTTGTTTCGAGGAGATAAAGCTTGTATGTGTCGGCATGTGTGTGTGTGTGAGAGAGTGTGGCTGTTGTGTGAGTGTGTGTGTGTTTGTTCTGTCACTCCTTTCGGCATGTGGGGTTGGGCCGTTTGGCCGTTTCGGCGCGAGACGAGCTAGGCGCCAGCTGCCCTAAGCTGGGAGGGGTGAGCCGAGGCGAAGGGTCCCACGGCCCCGGCCCGGCCCGGCCCCGGCAGAGCGCGGCCGGGCGCGGCCAGTCCGACTACCCCGCGCCGGCGCGCCAGCGAGTCAGAGTCAATAAAATAATAGCAAATATTAGCGCCGCAAGCAGCAAAGTTGAATGTTATGAAGCGATGTGCAGTCTGTATCCCACGCGGGAACCTTAGAGCGGAAGCTGTTTGTATCACACACTCAAACACACACACACACAAACATGGTTTTCAATCAATACGGCCCCAGGGATGGTTTGGACGCGTGGCCCCGCGCCGGCCGGCCTACCTGAAGCAGTGCGCGGACAGGTCGAAGAAGGCCGACCGCTGGCCGTCGTGGTGCACGGCGTCGGCGTCCTGGTGGCCGGGCTGGCCGGGCTGGCCGGCGTCCGCCGCCGCGGGGCTGTACCTGCAGGCCGCGGCGCGACACGACGCCTCGCTGCGGCCGCCACACGCAGAGTTCCATTAAAAACCGCAAACGACGTCACAACACAGAAAACAATTCAATTAGGACTTTGCAAACTGAACGATTTCATTTTTTTTCCCGAAAATGATAGTTGGCGGCCGTGCTGCTTCCTACCTCGCCGTGCAGGGGTGCTGCGGGGGCGTGAGGTGGTGCAGGTGCGGGGTGGCGGCGGGGTGGGGGGCCGTCCTGGGCAGCACCGGCAGCACCGGCACGGGGTGGAAGGAGCCGTACTGGTGCGACGCCGGCCCCGACAACGAGTACACGTCCGCCTTCATGGCCGGTGCGCCTGCAGCGCCTGCAACACGCAAGCCGAGCACTTTGACTCTGGCGTCCCTTGCCGCCACGGCTTGCCGCGCCGAGAGCCGTCGCTCTCTCTCTCGCACTCGGCAGCGTCCCCTGCAGGCGCGAGAGAGACAGAGCGACGAAAACGTTTCCTCGGAATGAATCTGCCCGCAGCGCCGCACTTGGCCAAGCTGCACATCTTGCTGCACATCTTGCTGCACAGCGGGCCGCCTCGGCCCCCTTTGCCTCGCCCTGCCTCCCTGCCTCGCCTCGGACCATCCCCGCGGTGTTCAGGGACAGCGACCACTGGACCGAGACGGCTAAGTATGGGAGCCAGGGACAGAGCCACGGACAGGCGCAGAAATTGGATTTGCTTGAGACGGAGTCGCTCTGCCGGACACACAGTGTGCACACTCAGACGCAGACAGAAAGACAGACGTGGGACAGTCACAGACGACGTTACATAGAGACACAGTCACGCACAGTCACAATTACAGAGTTGCAGACGTAGATATGCGGTGCGGACACACTCATAAAAAGGAAGACCCCCTGCCCCCAAATCCATCTGAAACTTACCGGAACAGTCGGATGCAAAGCCCGGGCTCGAGGCGTGCTCACTGCCGCTGCCCCCCGTGTTGCCTGAAACATGAAAACACAGACATGTTGTGGTGAGCCTTGGGGCACTGATGCGCTTCATCTTTCCCGCCACGCCACGCCAAGTCGCGGCGTCACTGACAGCAAGACGGATGGGGTGAACCGCCTCTGCCTTTGTTGCAAGTGTCACCCTCCCTGTTTTCTGTTTACACAAACAAGTGCACCGCCAAGTAAGTAGCGGTTGACCTTGCCGCTTCACCCCCTCCCCCTCCCCGTCCCCGTTGTGCACCAGGCGCGGATCTGGGATCCTTCCAAGGGGGTGCAATGCAGTGCTTTTTGCCTTCTTGCGGAAGGTAGTGATTTTTGGCCGCCTTTCTGGGCGTTTCAACCGAACTGGTCATTTCGGCAATTTATCTGGGTTTGTTTTCCGGTCGCGCTACGAGATTGGCGTCATTCCAGGCCCATCATGTTCGTCATGACCGTGTTCCGTTCGAACGCCGCCTCGCTGAACGCTGCACCCCGCCGGCCCTCGAGAGGCTTGACTCGCGGCGCAGCCAAGCCGCCAAGCTAATCGTGGTAATGGCGAGACGTTTGCCGAAGCCTCTGTGCGTGTGCGTTCGTGTGTGTGTATGTGTGTGAGTGGCAGTGTGAGAGTGTGTCACGTAGTTTTCCGCCGGGGACTGAGGCTTTGTCACCTGGTGTGATGGGGCGTCCCTCAGTGCAGGCCGGGCCGCCAGGGCCTTGGCCAGGGCCTTGGTCAGGGCGACAGCGCTTTTGTTCGCGGCCAGGGGCCAAAAGAAGAGGCTACTGTGTTTCAGTTGGTCTGTCTGTTTGTCGGTCTCTCTGTCTGTCCAACTCAAAGTCCTGACAGCCGGTGTCCTCTCCTACGTCGTGGTTCAGAGGCGGCTGGCGTAGAGAAAGGACAGGCAGCTAAAGTTGCCTTTGGAAAGGGGCGAGGGGGGGGGGATGACGCTCGGTACCCTGTGTCTTTGTGCCCGCACCCTGTGTGGTTGCGTGGCGTCCAAATTGACGGTGTACTCACCATCGTGGAGCCATGCTTCGTGCGCGTGCCTCAGCTCATGGAACATCGTGCCTGCCAATCACAAAAACATTGTTCACTCAAAACCGAGGGGGAAATCACTCGCGTAATAGTCGGGTCACCGATTCCTAGTATTACGCGTAATAGTAATAGCGTAATAGCCAAATTTTTAAAGATTTTCCCTATTTAGGGACCGAATTTAGACTAAATCTGGATATTTTCGAGCGTAATAAGCCTTCTGTAATAGCGTAATAGAACGTAATAGGGAGTAGTCGGGTCACAGTTTTTAAGAGTGATTTCCCCCTCGCTCAAAACTGTGTCGTCGGTTTTCTGGTCGCCTTTTCAGTCACCGATTTAATGCAGTCGTTGTCAAGGAATAACGAGATTACAGAATTACAGCCACGTAAGCCGGCCGGCCAGAATGTAATTAGGAGTGATGATGCGGGTGCTGAGCCAGTTTGCTCTCATTGCAGAGCGTGGAGAAGAACAAGGAGAGAGAGAAAAAGGCAAGGAGAACAAGAAGAGCAACAAGTGAAAGAAGAGCAAGAAGCGCTGAAGAGCAAGAAGAACAAGAAGAGCAGGAAGAGCATAAATAACAAGAAGAACAAGAAGAACAAGAAGAACAAGAAGAAACAGAAGATCAAGAAGAGCAAGAAGTAGATCAAGAAGAACAAGAAGTGCAAGAAGAGCAAGGAGAGCTAGAGAGAAGTGCAAGACGGCGCGCAGGACTCCCGCGGGGCGGGGTATTCCGCCTCCGCCGCCTCGACCCAGCGCGCCTTACGAAGAGAGGGTAGGCCACCCGTTCCGTCCAGTAGCTCGGCGGGGTGCCTACCCTGTCCAGAACGGGCGCTGTGGCAAAGGCGGTAGCTGAGCACGCCTAGCACGCTGTGCCTTCCTGGGCTGCGATGCCAGGGGTGCTGGACCGCGCTGGACCGCCTGCGCTCGGCCGGGCCGGGCGATGCAGCCACTCGCCTTTCTGTCATCTCGCCTCCGCCGCCGGAAATGAATCGTCTCAGACCGGAAGTGGGCCCAAGGCCTGCGGCCCAAGGCCTCGCTCCACCCCGCCTTCCTTTTTTTCGGCCCAAGTCGTCGCGGCGGCCCGATGCAGTCCGCGAAGCCCGTGGCCAGGCCGGCCAGCCCAGGGATTCTGCTGCCGGGAATTGGCCATCGCGTAGCGCGCCGCGTCAGAGAGAGAAAGAAAGAAAGAGAGGGTGTCGGCGGGGCGGTGCATACCATTTCCGAGACCGGCCTGATCAGTGGGAGACGTTTATTTTCGAACCGCAGTGCTTCGGCGTTCGTGGAGGGCCGATGATTTGGTTCTGCAAGTCGGACGTGACTCGAAAAAAAAAAAGCCGTTCGACTTTGTTCGATAGGCTGAAATCGATTGCTGCAATCGAAAGTCCGCTACCAACAATCAAAAGCTGGTTGCCACGACCGGATTCACTTGTCAGCTCAGTTGTCTTGAGTGCGGTCGCGGCTACCAGTCGTAGGTACCGAATTTTCGATTGCAGCTATCGATGTCAGCCTATCGAACGGACTTGATCGCCACAACAAAGTTTTTTTTTTTTTTTTTATGCGCATTGGAAAGGGGTTAGGGTAGGACACAGTTCTGAGCTCTGACGTGAACGCGACGCGTTGCCGTCCCGCGCGGGGCTGCGTTGCATCCGCAGCCGAAGAGAGCGGAAGGCGGCAAAAAGCGCAATCAAGAAGGCGGTGAGGCAAAGCGAAGAGGTGGAGAAAAAGAGAAGCGACGGCCCGGTCGCCGCGACTGGATTGCTGGATGTCACGGGGTCACTGGAACTGGAGCGTTGTCGCCGCGGACTCACCTGGTGGACCGACGGGCCAGGGGGCGGCCGTCGCAGCGTTCAACGCGGCGTTCAACGCGGCGTTCTACAGGGCGTACCCCACGCCGGAAGGGCGCTGTGGCCAAGCTGATTGGGCTGGTGAGTCCGGTAAGATTGGTGGGGCTGGCGGGGCTGGTGAGGCCGGTGAAGCTGGCGGGGCTGCGCGTCGCCGCGCTCAGGGCCCGCCACTCGTATCCGCGACACATTGCACTGGAGCCCCGCGTGGCACGAGACCCATGCTGCAGTCTGCTGCAGTGTGCTGCTGGCCCGGCGCGTCGTCTGCTGCAGGCCGCGGCCGCAAGACGCAGAGAGACGCAGAAAGACGCGCGAACAAGTCTCGACCGCTTCAATGACGGCGCGATGATTGAATACAAGCACGCCGAGTCAAGCCTGGCACCCCCAGAGTCCCGGCCCGGCCCGGCCCGGCCAGGGGATGGCCGGAGAGGGGTGGGTGAGGCGGGGCGTGGTGGGGCTGCGCAGGGCGGGGCCACCCAGGGAGAGAGCCTCAAGCTGGCGCGGGGGAGGGGGAGGAGGGGGAGGGTGGTCATTGTGTCCATGTGTCAAAGGGGAATTTCCAAGGCGCTGCTCCCGCAAGGCCCCTCTGCCGATTTAAAGCTTGTGAAGTATTCAATTGGGAAGAACTTTCCTGCCCGATCGACGTCCATCTTCGCCTGCACCTGCCTAGGCTGTCTACTGTGTGCGTTCATTCTCCGTCCCTTGTCCGAGGGAAGTCCTTAATTCCATGTGGCTCTGCTGGGTAGTGCAGCAGGCTCATGACCGAGGAAGCTCGTGTTAAAAATTTTGAGGGTTTGGCCCGGCATTTTACTGAAGACGGGTACCGCCAGAGGAGCGCACCCCTGGGCCGCTGGAGGAGCCCTGCCCTTGCAAGGGCCTTGCGCCCCGCCGCCCCGCCCCGCCCACCCCGCCCCCCACCCACCCCGCCCCGCGGAGGGCGCCGGGCCGCCAATGGCGCCGCGCCGGGAGGCCCCATTGGCCGTGGATCAATTGTTTCGCAGCGCGTCGCCGGCCAATGAGCGCGCGAGCCTTGCCGCCTCTCTCTTCCACTCTCTCTGTCTCTCTCATCGCTCTAACTACTCCAGCAGCAGCGTCGCCAACCCTCGAATCTCCGACTCCGCGCCGCCCGCGTAGTTGAGCCCTGCGTCCGTCAGCTCAAGCCGCCTTCAGCGGACTCGGTGACACGTGGTGGTGCGACTTCAAACCAGTCGAAGCAAAGGAAAACCTTCGTTTCAACTTTGGCTCGTGGTCAGTCATTTTCGTTCTGGGGAAACGCTGCACTACAGCCGGTCAGGTCCGTCGGTTCGCAGTTCGGACGCGGCGCGCGGGAAATGGAGCTCCCGCCGGATGCGGATACCCCGCGCCGAGGGATTCCCTGCGGCCATCGGCCATACCCCATGCGTCTGAGACTCTATCCGGCTCCGTCGAGCGTGCTTTGTGCTGATGCAGCCGTTTATTTATTTTAAAAGTTGTTGCTGTTCTTGTATTTTCACCACTCCTCGTTTTAATTTGACATCTGGGAAGGTCCAGTCTGGTTGGCGCGAGTGGGCTTCTATTGGGCTGTGGCCTTCCCCCAACCCCTTCTGTTGAGGCATGTTTTTCGTTTGACTGCCGTTTAACACAATCAAGCTACAGAGATATTTGTGTGACGTGTCCCATAAAATGTACCGAGGATCCTTCCAGGAATTTGAGGATAGTAAAACAGTGAGGCGTTTCATTTCATTCTATAGAGGTTTACTTCTTTCCAACATTTCCCAACATTTATATGTACAATTGTAACAAATTTTATACTCTTGTGTTCATCAATAGATACAATCAATGGAATCAATAAATACCATCTCTTAACATTTTTAAGATTTTATAGAATATGAAGAGAATAGAAGATTTGTTTCTGCAGAAACTACAAGTAATTTCTTTACTAATTCACACATTTTCTAGGCGTACAGCCAAAGGGTACATTAATTTAACTTATATCGAGTGATACAGAAGAATCACTTCTCTTCCAACAACAAAATCACAGTCTCTTTATCTTTTTGGTTACAGAGAAGCACTTCACTTCACAAAACATCCCTTTAAATATTCATCAGTCCTTAACAACGGCTGATATGACAAACTAGAATCCCACCAAGTATTACTTAGTACTTGTTTCAGATATATAAAACACATCACTTTCAAAGTCATCATCATTTCTACTGGTAAGCATCACCCTAGTACACAATAAGTCGGCAGAAAGAAAAGTCCAAACATTTCTACTGTAGATAATTGAGTGTTTCCAACCAACCAACATCAACATTAAGTTAGAAGCACTATCTATTTAAGTCTAAGTTTGCCAGCCAAATATCTGCTAAATGGAAAAAAAATATAAATTTTGAGATTTCTACAGGAGGTAAAACATGGGCTATCAAGCCATGACTCTTATTTTTAAATCACAATTTCGGGGTTTGAAAAGCTGAACATGTTGATAAATATGTTGATTGTTCTTTGCAGGATTGAAGGGGCTCTCTTATGGTAAAATGATTCCAGATTATGGAATGAACAGGTGCAGCACACATCTTCAATCACGCCATTGCAATACTGACGTGTAGCATTCACAGATTTGGAGTCATAGCCAACAGCCCATCGAGTATGGGATTTATTGCACAATCCTGAGACTAATAGTATAACAATTTACATTGAAACAAAATAAAACAACATTATGACACAATTAACAGGACAGTTTTGATAACAAGAGGAAGGAAATTTAAAGACAGTAAATGAAGCAAATAACACACATCTCTCATTCATACATGGCACATTTGCACACACATTCACACTAATCACAAAGAGAAGTTACAGAAGCAATTGCGAGTGGAAAGAAGAATTTTATCAATCCTGGGGAAGACTATAGACAGAATGTCAACCATTGTTTTCATTAAAAATAAAAAAATTAAGATTAAAAAATGGAAACAAAAAAGAAACAGAACACTTGAAGCCCCTAAAGACCTGGCAGTATGATGTGTCAAAAAAACAACAAACAACTAGTTGCAATCTGAGATTGATTATTTCCTTGCTCAATACTATTGTTTAAATTACATAAAATAAATATCAATTGCTTCAGTTTGTTAGTCTTGAATAATGACAATTTGAATCCTATAAATTCAAAAGAAGGAACTACAAATGCAATGGGAAAAAATGAAAATGACAGAAACAAAATACCTTAAAATAAAATGATCTACTAAAATGAAAAATGGTATTGATTTGGTTTATCAGTTAAGGCAGTGAAAACGCTTAGCTGACTAGTGGGCCATTATAAATACTGAAAATGACAGGTCTTGCAGCCCACTAAAATACTCCTGCCTGTCATTGCAGAATCATTTTTAGTATTCAATACCGTTTTCGGGAAAGTTGGATTTTTATAAATACGTTGTCTATGACATTGAAAGCTGACATTCAAACGAATTAAATGCTGCACCTCTTCAGAATAAATCCAACTACGTTTTCTTGACTCAGTGTCGATACTCATGCTTCAAATTCCATAATAATACATTGCATGAATCTGATAAAGAGGCTTTTCTTTCAGAACTATCAGCTAACAATTAATGTTACATACCGACACACCAATTTAACAAACAAGACTAGAGCATTGTTTGGCAAAATTAGGGTCAATAGCCTGCAACACAGAACATCACAATATGAATTCTAGAAACTTCCACCACAACATTAACACATACTCGCTGCCGCCAAACTGAACTAGTCTCAATTAGATTGAGTTCCTCGCAACTTCAAGTCTCTACTGAGATTTTAACTTCAATCAATTTTGAATGTGCACCTTTAACATGAGTTCATAGTTTCATAAAATTATTTCACATAAGACTTAGGTCCTCCACTGATACTGTACACAGATAACAATGATACATAACAAAAACAAAATCTCTTTAATTGCTAGAAATATTAAGTCATAGACATTTTTACTAAAAGTATATAATTCTCTATTAAATAGAATAAATGTTATAAGATTTCATAGATATATTTGAATTACATATATCTATATAATATATATTTACTCATATATGCGTCTGGGCTACAAGTGTACTACCTATATAAATTTATAACCGTAGGTAAAGTATCCTGAGAAATTGGAACAATTTTCTAATGTCGGGACAGATAGTTACAACTGCCACTTTGCCAGCAAAAATAGCAGTAACATCCATTCCAAACATTTCTTATCATACATGAGCCAACGCCTACAATATTGTGCATCCGCTAACACAACAGGAATCAGTTCTGAGCGACTCAAATTGACTCATCGTTAACAACTCTTAAAAATATTGAAGTACTATTGGCTGCTTTCATTTTTCCTGTTTTAATTATCACGAGTTGATCTACTTCAGTTAAGCTCAGGAGGTTCATAATCTCCTTGAATGGTGAGAAAATGAAATGACTTTCCATAAATTATTGGATGGTTCTCTGTGCTGGTGCAGAGACAAAGTTGAAACCTCATTAAAGAATACATATACTTTGCCAGCAGGGCCTTCAGTATAAACGAAGTGATCAAATAAAACATGAAAGCATCAATGCACTACTCACAGCACCATTCGCTTCAAAACAATCTAAGCTACACAACACATTTGGCCATGGGACTAGGGTCCCCATTTGTGCTGATTCGACTAGTATTAAAACAAGAAAATACTCATTAATGGAGTCAAAAGAACATAAAAGAACAGGTACTTTGAGTGTTAAACAAGTAGTTTCGTGACTTTAGAGGAGATGGTAGTTGATCTACTCAGATCCAAATTGTGCCAATGGTTAATTTACACTTACAGCATATGAATCGGGCCTTGAAGTAGCTAAACACTTAAAATAATACAGGAAATGATTTTAAGAAAACAATTAAAGTTGAACAGTACTGAAGATTTTGACAACACACCAAGGGAGAAGACAAGAAAAGATAAATAAATTCAAGATATGCTGCAGGTTTGGAGCAATCGTGACATAGTGTCATGGGCTGCCATAAAATCAAGATAGACAAGACTCCTCATAGGATGATTTTGCCTCTCCAGATTGAGAGAAGGCCACCATACAAACAAAACAGCAGTCTTAGTTTTCTACAGAGAAACATTCCCAGGCGAATGGCTCGACTCCAGGTCCAACATCATGACGTGGCAGTGCGGCACACACGGGGGGACAATAGGCATGGGAAAACTGACATACAAATATTCTGTTTGCAGAGTAAATATACTTAAGTCACATGAATAAGTCTGGGTCATCAGCCTTCGTATTTAGGTCTGGCGCTCGCGCGCACTGCCATCTCGGCGTCCGAGCGGCAGCAGGCAGTCTTAGTCTAGGTCGATGGTGGCGATGCGCTCCCTCTTCTGCCGCTGCCGCCCGCCCTTCGAGCCCTTGGCCTGCGCGGCCTGGCCGGCCTGGGCCCTTCGTTGGCTGTGCGAGTGGGTGTTGGTCCGCGCCGTCCTCTTCCTCGGCACCGGCTCCTCCTCGCTCGTGCTCGCCGAGCTGGCGCCGCTCTCGGCCAACTTGCGCTTCAGGGACCTGGTCAGGGGGCCCTGCCTTGCACTGTCACTCACTGCACTGGCTGCACTGGTGGCGGAGGACGACGCGCCACTCGACGCGTCCCTCCGCTTCGTCCTGCCGGGGGCCTCGGCCTCGGCCTGGGCGGGTGCCGGAGGCCTCTCCTTGCCCTTCCGCGTCCTACTCCGGTGGCCGTGGCAGACGGTGGCCTCGGCGGCGACCTCCTCCACCTCCCCTGAGTGTGCGCAGAGCCGCTCGTCGGCATCCCCGAGCGTCACCACCTCGGGCGTCGCCAACTCGGCCTTGGACGCCGCCACTGGCGCTGGCGCCGGGGCGGACGCGGTGGCCGCGGGGATGCCGGAGTCGGTCGCCTGGGGCTGCGGCTCCGGGTCCGCCAGCCGCCCCTTCTTCTTGCGGGGGGGCACGGGCGACAGGACGGGGGTCTCCGCCTGCGCCAGCGTGGCCGGCAGGCTGGGCGGCGACGCGGCCAGCGAGCAGCAGTCCATGGACAGCGACTGGTCGCGGTCGCTGGAGGACGAGGACAGGCTGGTGGACAGGCTGGAGAGGTACTCGCGGACCCGCGACTCGCCGAAGTTGAACACGTTGTCGCCCTGGTCCGCGCGCGGCCTGGCGTGAGACTGCGACAGCGACGCGTGGGACTTGGCGGTCGAGGGCGCCGACGCCGACAGCGACGCCGGGGACTCCGTCGAGGAGGCCACTTTGACGGGCGTCTGGATGGAGGACGTCCCAGACGAGCTCGAGCTGGAGAAGGTGCTCGACGTCGAGAAGCTGCGGTTGTCCAGTGATGACTTTTTGTTGCGTCGCCTCTGCGCCAGCTTGGCGTTCACGACGTCCTGCTCGCAGAGAGAAGAATGTCAGCCAACACGCCACCACAAAGCACTCGGCACGGCAACTTCCTCATCGCGGGCAAACCGATCACATCCGTACCTGTAATCTGAAGCCCTCGCGGTGAGCTTGGTGGAAGGCAGAGAAAATCTGGGCTACGTTAATTTCGGCGGACCGAGCTGAGGAGCCAGTAGTGAGGACGTCGGGAGTCATGAGAGGCACAGTGGCAAAGCCCGCCCGCTCAGACCCCTGGATCCACTCATTGGTTCGGAGATCACTCATACGGAGGCGCTTCTTGGGGTCCACAGTCAGAAGGCCTGGAGAGCAAATGAAATCCTCAGTCAGGCAAAGGCACAGAAAAGGCAAGCACTTCAAGCGGTCTCAGTCTGAGGAAATTGACCGCACCTTTAGTGAGCTGCTTGGCAGCACTAGAGACATTCTGCCAGGCATCGGCATTGAAGTTGAAGTCTCCTTCCTTAATTTTGGACATGATAGATGCTGCACTGTGGTCCCTGGATCTCGCGTGGAATGGTGCACGACCAGAGAGCATGGTATACTGGAAAAGAGAAGAACATTGTAAGTTAAAATGAAACAACCAGCCACAGCTAACTTATGCTCTCTCTTTACAAGATTTACTCACCAGGATCACACCTAAACTCCACAAATCACAGTTTTCATCATAGCCTTCGCTACAGGGTTGGCTTACAGGGGTGCCCTTGTTGTCACAAGTTGCACTGGTACTATTATTGGAGGCTGAGTTTCCAAAAGCTTGTTTCAACACTTCTGGAGCCGCGTAATGCAGAGTAAAACAAGGAGTGGTGAGGACTTCCTTTTCTTGCTTCAGGCGGGCAAACCCAAAATCTACTATTTTAATGTCAGAGTTTTCTGAAGTATCAGTGAAGAGTAGGTTCTAAAATGTAAAAATACAGAGAATTAATAAAAGAACATAGTTTTGAAGCAAAGCTTCTCACTCAAATTTGGATCATATAGTTACCTCAGGTTTCAGGTCACGATGTACTACTCCTCGAGAGTGCATTTCATTCACTGCGGCAACTAGACTACACATTATCCGACTAGCTTGGCTTTCTGTGAATCTTGCTTGTCTCCTTATTCTTTCCAACAGCTCGCCGCCGCGCAAAAGCTCAAGTACTAGGTAGGTGTGAGCCTGCATCAAACACAAGTGAGTTAACATAAATCCAAAACAAACGCCAACCTCAAACAGACGCAAAAGGGGTAAGGGGTTGCTACATACCTCATCATAAAACACTTCATACAGTCTAACTATATTGGAATGTCCCTGGCAGGCCCGGAGCAAGTTGATCTCCCTCGTGCAGTCCGTCTTCCTGCTCACAATCTTGACGGCAAATTCCTGTCCGGTCTCGCGGTGCCGGCATTTCCGGCACACCGAGTAGGTGCCGTCGCCAAGAATGCCCTCACGGAAGTCGATTTCGTATTGTTGGAAGAAAGGCGAGTCCTGTGGAACGCAAAACAATATCGTGTAACCGGCGCCCACACTGGAAGCGCAGTGACGCCACGCGAACCACGCCCACAGCCTCGGCACTGGCACTGCAGGCCGATTCCGAGAGGGGGGCCTCTTTCTCTCTCTCTCCCTCTCGCACTCATGGGCTGTCCCGAGGGGGTGCGAGAGAGACAGAACGACGAGGCGCCCCGTTCGGAGGCAGACTGCTGGGCGGCCATCGTGGCCAGCTGCTCACCTTAATACAGGGCAGGGTCAGACTTGTGGGACTGGGCCTTTTGGTTTGGTTGAAGATATCGTCGCTGACGACGTTCTCACTAAATAACACAGACGGCGCCACGTAGGAATAGCCCTGCAAGCCGAGGCAATACACAAATGAGTATCGGAATGCCGCGTGCACACTGGCAGGCGCGAAAAAGCAAAACAAACAGGTAATCGTTATCTCCCTCCCGCTCGGGCGGATCCTCACCTTGAAGATCTTGTCGAAGTTGGGCGGGATGACGGCGGGCGAGTCGGTGGGGGTCATGCGCGTGAACTCCTCCGAGAAGTTGCTCACGTCCAGCTCGCCGGCGATGCGGGGCACGAAGGGTGCCGGCACGCGCTTCTCCGACAGCGCCACCCAGTCCAGGCTGCGGAAGAAGGGGTGCTTCTTGAGCTCCAGCGCGTCGTGCTCGCCGCCGCCCAGCCGCTTGCGGGGGTCCTTGACCAGCAGCTTGGCGATCAAGTCCTTGACCTCGAAGGAGAGCCCGTCCGGGATGGGCGGGTTGGTCTTGAGGATGCGCCTGCGACAGAGAAGAAGGCCGTTAGGATGGAGGCCACACGACGGGGAGGCAGTGAGGCGAGGCAGTGCCCTGGAATGTCCTGGCAGTGGCGGAGCGGAGCGGAACGCCCGGCCGGGTAGGCCGGCCGCCGCGCTCGCACGCGCTGCAGCCGGGGGGTGGCCTACCCGGAGCCGGCCGGGCGCTAGGCCTGGCCCTGGCCAGGCTTGGCTAGCTGGCGTAGCGGCGCTGGCGTCAGGGCTGGCCGCGCCGCCCGTCACACCCCGTCACGCCAATAACAATAAAAAGGGAAAACCGCGCGGCGCGCCGCGAGCCGCGCACGCACTGGCTCTGCGCTCTCTCTCTCTCTCTCTCGCACTCACCGGCTGATTTCAGTCTGGGTGTTGTTCTCGCCCTCCACGGTGAAGGGGGACGCCCCCGTGAGCAGCTCGTAGGTCAGCACGCCGACGCTCCACCAGTCCACGGCCTGTGAGAACAAGACAACACGCCGTTAGCGATTCCACACTTCCCACAGCCCTTTTTTCGGTTTATAATTAGGCTCGTCCACTCCGAAAAGACCCCGCCGGCCGGCCAGAAAAGCGGCGGGAACCGGTATTCGAACACGCGCGCGCACGCACGCTTTTCACGTGTACGCGGGCGCGGAAAAGGGACGGATGTTCGGGAAAGAGGCTCCTGGAATGCAGCAGCCCCGGCAGCCCCCCACTCCGACCGCTGGGCCGCTAGTCCGCGTAGTCCGCCAGTGGGCTAGTTTGCAGGGTTGGCGGGGCAGTGCCCGGCCCGGCAGTGCACAGGCGGTGCTCCAGCAGCTCCAGGCCTCCCGGGGCATGCCGACGACTCCATCAGGAAGTGGCCGGAATGGAGCGGAGCGGAGTGGACCGCGGGCGGCAAAAGTGAAGGTGGTCGTCGAAGCGGGGACCGGAATTTCCAGGGCCGCCGCGCCGCGCCGCCAAGCAGGCTGGCAGGAAGGGCGGGCAACGCGGTGCAGCCGTCACACTGAAAGGGCCCCCTCGCCTCGCTGCGTCGTCGCTGCGACCCCCAGTCCCTCCACTGCCGCTCCGATCAAGCGCGAATCTACGAAAGGGAAAGCCCCTTCGTTTGCCGATTGGCGGCCCGCAAACTAAACAAAACCGAGCAAACCAAACAACAGAGAGACGATTCTTTCTTTTTATTTCATTTTTGGCGACACGAGGGAGGGGCATGCGGGCCGCGCCGCGAGCAGCGAGCATCCAGTAGACTCCGCCGCTCCGTCTCGCTCGCACCCACACGGGACGCCCCACGGGCGCGAGAGAGCCGGAGCGACGAAGACGACTCTCGGAGTCAGTCTGCAGCGAGCATCCAGGAGGCGGACTCGTGCAGGCCGCGGGGGCTTCGTGCCGCTAGAGGAAGACTGCTTCGGGCGAGGGGGGAGCGGGAGCGGAGGGGGGGAGCCGCTCCGCCAGGGTCCCTCCACACTTTCTTCTCATGCACAACTCTGCATAACAGGAGGCTGTAGCGGTGCCGCGGTGGGCGTGGCGGCGTGGCGCGGCGTGGCGGCCGCGGGATGCGCACACGACGGCCCAGTGACTCCACCGCCGGGCCCGCCACGCCCACAAGCAGTGCAAGCAGTGCACGAAGCACGACGCCACTGCAGGCACTCGGTGCCGCCGGGCCGTGCGCCGTGCGTGTCACGTTGACAGAGCCCCGCAGCACCGCAGCCTCAGAGCCCCGCGGGCCCTGCCCGGCCCTCGCGCACCATTTCCTCCGCTTTTCTTTTGGCGCGGCAGCGCGGGGCAGGGCAGGGAAGTGCGACCCGGCCATACCTGGGGCCCGCAGCCCGCAGCCCATGGCATTCCATGGCTAGACAGGCCGGTACCGGCGCGGTGCCGCGGGGAGGCTCGGGGTCGGGGAGGCGCGAGGCGAGGGGCCCGGCCCGGCCCATGGCGGCCGAGGCGGCGCGGCGGCAGGCGGCGTGGAGGGGCACAGCAGAGCCATGGGCCGGGCGGCCGGGCCGGGCGCGCAGCCAGTGCCGAGCCGAGCCGAGGGAGCGTGCCGGTTCGGCCGACAGCAACAGCTGACCCAATGACCTACTAAGCATGGCGCAGGGGGGCCGGGCCCAGGCCGGGCCGCGCGGAGGGGAAGGGAAGGGCGTCGTCGGCGCGGTGCGGGGCTGCGGGGCCCATGTGCAGTGACACGCCATATCCACCGCGCCCAAAGGTCGCCCTTGCCGTGCGTCCCAGCGTGCGTCCCGCCGAGTGTCCTCCAGCCGAGTGTCCTGCCCGCCGCCGAGTGTCCTGCCCGCCGCCGAGTGTCCTGCCCGCCGCCGAGTGTCCTGCCCGACGCCGAGTGTCCTCCCGCCGCCGAGTGTCCTGCCCGCCGCCGAGTGTCCTGCCCGCCACCGAGTGTCCTGCCCGCCACCGAGTGTCCTCCACCTCCAGCCGAGTGTCCTGCCGCACGCGTGCGCGAAAACCGCGGCCTGGCGGCGGCGCGTGCGCCTCGGCGTGCCCCGCCGCAGACAGCGCGCCTTTCCCCCTTATGTCACAGCCAACGCCGCGCGGCGCGGCCGGCAGCGGCGGTGTCCGCGCCAGCCATGCCAGGCGGCAGCCAGGCGGCAGCCAGGCGGCAGCCATGGTCACCGTGTAGGTTCAAAACGGGAGCGCGCTGCTCGCGCCGCTCGCCCTGAAGGAGCGCGAGAGCGAGAGCCACTTCCCGACCGCCACGGCGCGCCGCCCCCAAGGCCCAGCGCCCCGCCGCCCACCTGCGCCGTGCTTGGACTCGTGCCCCGCCAAGGCGCGCCGAGGCGAGCCAAGGCCCCCTCACCCTAGAGCCATCATGCCAAATTTTAATTACCCGCCCAGCAAAGTGGAACGAAACAAAGCAGAAAACCGCCGAAACAAGCAGGGCGCGCAAGCTCGATACCACGCCGACAAGCACAGCGCTCGAGCACGGCACGGCACGGCACGGCACGGCACGGCACGCACCCCGAAGGACTCTCTCCCCCTCGCTCTGCGCGGCGAATCGCAGATCGTTTGCATAATTCGTCGCCGTTCAATACAACGGGCGCCGCGTCGCGCAAACGCAATGCAACCGCAGTGCAGCGCTCCTCCGTCCCTAGACCCTATCCGCAAGGAATGTAGGCCAGCTCCGGCCCGGCCTGGGCCCGGCCCCCCTCCCCCTCCCAGACCGCCGCTAGAGGTGCTTCCCCCTCCTCTCCTCCAGAGCGCCCCCTGCCCCACGCCGCTGTCCGCACTTATCAAATTGCCTTTTCGCTTTCCAACACGGGTCCGGCGGGCAACATTACCCTTCCTCAATGATGTAAGAGAGCGGCGGGGCGGCCGCGGCAAGGGAGTACCGCGCACCGAGGGCTTGCTTTAACTATCGCCGGAACACCCGCACTCCGGACTAGGGACTAAGTTGGGCCGCTCCGCTCCAGCAAGCCTTGGACCCCGGTCCGCGGCGGCGCGGCGGCCACAGAGGGAGAGAGGGACAGAAGACTGGGCGGACCGCCTGGCGCGCGAAGGGCCAGGCCGCTTGATCGTATCTCGCTGTCTCGCTCGCCGAGGAAATTCCAATCTCCAACATCATATTCGCGACGGCGCGGCGACGGCGGGGCGCGGGGCAGGCCGGAGTCAAGTCCGAGCCTCGGCCAATCAGCGTCGGGCAGCCAAGCCTGTGGCTTGGGAGCCACCCGAGCCGAACCGGGCCGGTCCAGCTCCAGCCCGCTTCCAGCCAGAGAGTGGCGGGAGTGCCGGACCGAACGGCCAGCCAGACTTGGGCGCAGCAGCCCGGCCCGGCCCGGCCAGCCCGCTCTCACTCTCATTCCTGCACCGCCTCACATTGTAATAACAACATGTCCGCCTCCCCCCCCCCTTTTTGCCGCTGTCGGGCCGCACCAGACTAGAAGGCGCTCGTGAAAAAAAGCATAATACTGCTCGCCTGTGCCACCGCACGGCCTGCTCTGCAAGGCTTTGCGATGCTTCGCGAGGCTTTGCGGACGAGTGCAAAAAGGGAGAACAATGCAAACCAATCCCCCGGGGCCGCCAGGGCCCCGCGGCAGAGGCATCCACTTCGCGCTGCTGCTGCTGCTGACCTGTCGCCTCTCGCCGGGGAGGTATCAAATAAAACCAACCGAAAAAAATCCCCTCTCCCTTTTCTCCCCCTCCTCCTCCCACGCCATCTGGAGGCGTCGCGTCGCGGCGGCGTGGTATTTAGACGGGGACCGCGCTGGGACGGCCCGACGGCCCGACGGCATGCAGCATCATGATTTGTGGACGGCGGCGACAAGTGTCTGCACTGCACGGCCTGCAGTGTGCTAGTGTGCGGCAGCGCGGCCTGCATGGTGTACTACACGGCCACGCACTGCACAGCCACGTTTCCCGTGTAACCCGAACCGTTCCGATCCACCAGCGAACGCCTCGCCACGCCACGCCCGTACAGGGGAGAGGGACAGAGAGGGAGAGACAGAGAGGGGCAGAGGAGGGGGGCGTGCCACGGCGTGCCACCAACCAAGGGGCCTCTCTCTCGCGGCCTGACATTTTCGAACCAAGTGCTATATTGGGCCGGGGGCTTGGAGCTCCACAGTCATCCCGCCACAACCACAACACGGCGCCGCTGCACCACCGACGCCTCTCCCTGGTCGTCGACGTCGTCACGGTGGACGTCGTCGTCGTCGTCTTCCCCGTCAAGGTGCGCGGGACGCGGGCCGACGCACCGCTAAGGGAAGCGCCGGGGGTGGTCTGGCCAAGCCGGGCAAAGCGGTCACTTGAAGCACACGCGTTGGCGCTACATCCGGGAGGGAGGGGGCGGCCCGGCCTGGCCCTGTTCCGTGTTGCCAAGGCCCTTCCCCGCCCGCCTCGCCCGCCTCGTCGACATGCACGGCACCCTTTCCTCTAATGGATCCATCACCCCGCCCCGCCCCGCCCCGCGCCAAAATAAAAACCAATAGCGTGTGTCGCCGGCCGCGCGGCCCCGCGGCCCCCCGACAAGCGTTAGAAAAAATAAAACCAGCAAGAAAACGTCAGCGAAACCACACGCCCCTTCCCTTTTCTCATCATCCCCATCCTGCTCGTGCTGCTGGCCGCCCTTGTTGTCCGGCCGGCGCCGTGCAGCCACCACACTGGCACCGCCATGGCGGCACGTGCGCGCCATGCGCCATGCGGCCCCCAAAAACTGGGTCAGAGTGCGACACAGGACGGCAAGGTCGCGGCCAGGAGGGGCGTAGCGTAGCGTGGCGTGGCGTGGCGTGGCGTGGCGGGGCTTTGGTCCGCCCGCCCACGGCAGCAGGGCCGCGCGGTCACCGGCACTGCGGGCCCGCCCCGCCCCGCCCCGCCCCGCCCCGCCCCGCCCCGCACGCGCGTGTCACGCGTCTGCCCCAAACCACATTGATCCCCCGAGGGCGCCGCCAAAAAATCGAAAGGCAAGCACGGCAGGGCACGACGCCCCCCCCGCCCCCTCCCCGCGGCACGGCCTCGACCGATTTGCGGCCTGGAGGGGCCCGTCGGCCCGGCCCTGACACGGCCCATCTTGCGAGTGTACTTACGATATCGTGGCCAGTCGAGCCGCCGCGAACCACCTCCGGCGCCATGTACTCGATGGTGCCGCAGAAGGAGTAGGCGCGCTGATCCTGTGGACACACAGCTGGCGTGAGACGGGGCGGCCGAGAGACAGAGAGCCTTTATTGGACAACCGCCTCACCTTCTCGTGCGGGAGGAACTCCTTGCTGAGGCCGAAGTCGGTCAGCACCACGTGCCCGTCCGAGTCCAGCAGGATGTTCTCCAGCTTGATGTCCCGGTAAATGATGCCCAGCTGCAACACGAAAAAGGGGAACGCGTCAGTCAATTTCATTTTCAGCGGCAAGGTCACTGCTGGGCAGGGGCAGCCAGGGGCAGCGCGCCCGCACGCCCGTTTGGCGGCACCTTGCTGTGACCTAGTGGCGCCAACGTGACGCTACGCGGGGCCAAAGACCTCGCCCCCCCTCCCCCCCCAAATTAGAGCCCCCGGTAATAATGCAGCGAGTCAGAAATACAGCCCGCGCCGAAGACACACGAAATCACACCGACCGAAAAAAACAAAAACAAAACACGACGACCTGTGGGCCGACCGACATCGCGTAGGGTCATGGCTGGCGAAGTTCGACAGCGTCACGTGACGAGAAGAGGTCGCGCCAGGTCGGCGCGGTGCCCTTGGCGGCGGTTCAGCGACCAGCGCCACGCGGACCGCGCACCGCGCACCGACCGACCAGGAAGCCGGCGGCATCACCGCCAGGCCAGGCTCCGCGCTCCGCAGCGCTCCGCCAGGCAGGCATCACCGCTAAGGACGCGGGGCGCGCCGCGCGCACACTGCAGTCAGTGACCACGTCAAGGTTGGCGGCTCCGGAGCCAGGCAGCACGGCGGCGCGGCGTCCAGCCGACCGATTCGCCGTTTCGTCGCTCTGTCTCTGTCGCACTCACGGCGATCTCCGTCAGGCTGCGAGAGAGACAGAGCGACGAGCCGGCAGGGCCGGCAGGCAGGAGGACCCTGAGCGACAATGACCCGCTGCCCTTGTCCGTGTGCCGCAGTCGGTGGGTCGGCGCTCACCTGGACGGTCATCAAGGTCCTTTTTGCGGAGCGCGTGGCGCGGCGCGGCGCGTGACCTCCGCGACGGACGCGGCGGGTCATCAGCCGCCGCGCCAAAACACTCGGCGGGCGGAGAGAAAAACCCAACCGAAGCGGGAGAGGAGTAATTTGATAAACAACCGGGCAACAACGCGGCAGAGGCAGCAAAGCAGCCGAAAGCAGCGCACAGGTACGTTGCCTCACACGCCGCGGCACGCCGAGGCACGCCGTGCTCGAGGATAAGGACCGCAGCAATGACCCGTTACCCTTGTGGCGTCCGACTGCCTGTCTGTCTGTCTGTCTGTCCGTCGGCCCGTCCACCTGATAGCGTCCTCTGGCCCGGTCCTCGACCCCCGCGGCGGCCCGGGCGGACCCAAACAAACGCCGAATCCGCCACACGCCAGGGCAGTGCCAGGGCACGCCACCCGTAGCAGCGTAGCAGCGCGGGGCCGAGCAGCCGGCAGCGCAGGCAGCGCCGCCGCGCGCCCGCGTCGCGCAGGGTGGCCTACCCGGCCGTCCGCGGGCGCTCTCGGCTGCCAGCGCGCCGGCTCCCCTCCCCTCCGCTCCGCGCCCCGCCCGGCCCGCCTCCTCCTCTCTCCATCTCCTCTTCGTCCACGCGCGGCGGCAGCGCGGCCAGATTGCGAATGGGGAGTGGAGGACGAGTGGAAACAAAAACAGCAATAATCGGTGCTGAAGGTCTTCTTCGAAGCGCGCGCCGAGTAAACGGCTTGGCGACTTGGCGGCCCAGCACCGCGCTCCGCGAACACCCTCTCTCCCACCCACCTTGTGCAGGTGCTCCAGCGCCAGGATGATCTCCCCGATGTAGATGCGGACCTGGTCCTCCGTGAAGTGCTCGCGCTGGTACAGGTGCGTGAACAGCTCGCCGCCGCTCACGTAGTCTGCAACAAACACAGCGCAGGCGGTTACAAAAAAATTGAAAACAGAGCCCAATGCGTTACGTAAGGGCAGAGTGGGACAGGGGCCGGTTGGGGAAGAAGGAAGCGGGGGTGCGACAGGGAAGTCCAAGGGTCGAGGCACCTGGCGGCCCTGGCGGCCCTGGCGGCACGACAGTGGCGAAGCCCTATACTTTCCCACGTCAAGAGCAAGGGGGGAAAGGGGGCGGGGGAGGGGGGACGTGAGACACACTGGCAGACAGACAGGCGGGCGGGCAGGCAGGCAGGGCGGGCATGATAACTGCGCAGGAGAGGAGCTGCTCCAAGTATTTTGCGCGCTGCCGCTCCGCTCGCTGCTAGTCCGGCCCGGCCCCGCTCCCCCCGTCACGCGCTGCCAGGGCTCGGCCGGCCGGGCTGGCTCGGCTCGGGCCCGCCCAAAAAAACACGTGTCTTGTTTGCGCCCCCTCTGGACACGTGCCGCCGCGAACAGCGTAATAGCAAAAAGCAACAACAACAACACGTTGTTGACGTTTCAAATTTAGACAATTGTCGTGGGCAGTGCGCGTCATTCTATCGCCCCACGTCAGCCGCTTCTCTTTTGCGAAAGTTCGTTCGTTCGTTCGTTCGTTCATTCATTCATTCATTCATTCATTCATTCATTCATTCATTCGCAGGCTGCACTGACCTAGGATGAGGTGCAGCTTGGCGTCCGTCTGGAAGGCGTAGTGCAGCGTCACCAGGAAGGGCGACTGCCGCACCGCCTCCAGCACCTGCCGCTCCGTCCTGGTGTGCTCCGTCGTCTTCTTCTTCTGCACGATGGTGGCCTTCTTCAGCACCTTCATGGCGTACAGGCGGCCGTCGTCGGCGCCGCCCTTCTTGCGCACCAGGAACACCTTGCCGTACGCTGCAACAGGAGAAACCGTCAGTCTCGATGCTGTGGCAGACGGGGCAACGCAGCCAATTAATTAGCTAATTAATTAAATAAATAAATATCTAAATATCCCGTAAATAAGCTTCCTCCCGGCGCGGCCGCGCTGCCACACCCGCGGCGCTCATAGCGTTCAAGTCACGGCCCGCGGCGCAGCCTGCGCAGGGCGGCCTCCAATTAGCAGCCGGTGCCGTTCGTGCGAGTGTGTGTGTGTGTGTGTGTGCAAGTGTGTGTTTGTACGTGAATGTGTGTGTTTGTGTTTGTACGTGAATGTGTGTGTGTGTGCACGTGCGCGCGCTTTTTTGGACCAATTACGGGTGTCATAACGAAATGCTTCTTCATTAAGGCCAGTCCTCGTTATTGGCTGAGCGCAGTCGGCAGGCAGTCAGTGCGCGGCGCACGGCTGGGTGGCGATGCAAGGCGAGAGGGCTGCGAAGCGAGGGCCCCCCTGCCAGCCGGCCAGCCCAGCAGCCAGCCACGCCAGCAGGCCACCGCGCGCGTATGTACCGGTGCGCCACGCCGCCACGCCGCGAGACCGCCAGGATGCACACCAAGTGCAGCGGCGTGCACCGGCCCTGCACCGGCCCTGCACGTCCGCGGCATGTCGCCGTGGTCACTCAGGCAGGCATCCGGGACGTCGTCCGGGACGCCGTCCGGGACGTCCCGGTAATAGCGGCCCCAGCCGCCAAGCAGCCGCCAAGCAGCCGCGCTCAACTTGATTCATTCCCCGACCCGTGCAAAAGACTCGCGCGCACACACACACGCTCACCACACGGACGCCGGCACGCGTCCGCGTGTCTGTGTGTGCGTCTCCGTTCCTTCTCCATGGCTCCGCTATGCAGCCTGCCCGCCGGCCGGCCGGCCCGCCCGGCCTGGCCTGGCCTTTACCGAGCGAAAGTGAAACGGCAAACGGCCGCCGTCGGGCCGGGCCGGGCCGTCGGGCTAGAGCACTGCGGCTAGGGCAGGCTGGCAGGCTAGAGACGCGGGGAGGCGGCCGGGCCGGGGGCCGGGCTGTGCCGCTAGAAGACGGGCAAGGACGAAGAAGAGACGAGCAGCCAGGACGGCGGGGCCGCACCGGCCGCACCGCGTGGACCGCCGCACTGCAGGCCAGCCGACGAGGAGGAGAAAAAGTAATGTTTCAAAATAAAATTCATAAAAAGAGGGCGTAAGGGGGGGGGGGCGACAGCAGCCCGACGGCGCAGGTGAACGTAGTACAGACAACCACCGCAGCGTTGGTGCATCACCTTCCGTGGGGTGCGGCCGGTCTGGGCCGCCGGAGTGCGGTACGTACCTACCACTACCACTACCAGGGGGACTAGAAGGGGAGCAGCAAGCAGCACCGAGCGGGGCGGGGCGGGGGACCCGCACACTGCACGCAGCACGCCCTGCACGCAGCACGCGCAGCGCGCAGGCAGCCGGGTTGGGTCATCGAACCGAGGGCAGAGCTCGCAGCGCCGCGGCGGGGAAGGGGGACGGGGAGGAGGAGGAAGAGGAGGCGGCGCGGAGGGGAGGAAGGGAGCGAGGGGCGAGGAGGCAGGATTCAACGGCGGAAACAACGTCAACGCGCAACAAGGGCTGCACGCTGAAGGCTGCAGGCGGCGTGGCCGGCCGCACGGGGTGCAGGGCCTTGTGTGCGCAGGGCGGCGCCGCGTGCCGCACCTTGGCGTCGGCGAACCGCGAGGCCCGCGGCCGCGACACCGCCACGCCACCGCGTCCCCACGGAATCCCGATCAACAACAACGCAGCCCCGCCAGACCCCGTCGCCCATCAACACGCAGCGATACACATTTTAAACGCCCCGCCCCGCCCCGCCCCCGCGTCCCCCGAGAGTCAGCAGGAAAGAAAGCCCCCTCGGCTGGGTTGGCCATGTACCCTCCTAATGCTCTCCCACCGCCCTGCTCTGCCCTGCGACCCACGCAAAGCCCATAAGGAAAATAGAAAACAGAAGAGAGGGGGATAGAGGCGGGGATAGCACGGATAGGGATAGAAAAGACAAGCGCCCCCCCCCTCCCCGGTCTCCGGTAATTTAAGGGTCCTCTTTACAGACCGTGCTGCACCGCCCTCCAGACGTTCCCAAAACGTAAAAGAGAGAAGCGGACAGAGAAATGCTCGAAACCAAATCATAAGGCGACTGCACTGTATCACGACGTGTTATCTGGCCGGCCTCGCGCGGCCTAGGCTGGCTGGCCGTGCCGTCCGTCCGGCTCGGCACACTGGCAAGCGGCCGGCCGGCCGGGCCTCGGGCCGGGCACAGGTGAGAAAGTACATTATTCAAATGAGTTTGGGCAGAGCGAACGGATTGAGGAAACAACTCGACGTATCGTCGCCGAGTCGGCGGCGCGGCGCGGCATGGCGCGGGTCAACGGTCTGCCGCCGCGCGTCGCGTCGCCTCGCCTAAATTCGAGGGGACGCCGCGAGTCAGGGGGCAGCGCGGGGCAGCGCGGGGCAACGGGTGTACGCTGTAGTACGTGCCGCTGGCCTAAGGCCCTCGAGCTGTCCGGCTGGCTGTCTGCCTGGCTGTCCGGCTGGCTGTCTGCCTGGCTGTCCGGCTGGCTGTCTGCCTGGCTGTCCGGCTGCCTGGCTGCCTGGCTGTCCGGCTGGCTGTCTGCCTGGCTGTCCGGCTGGCTGTCTGCCTGGCTGTCCGGCTGGCTGTCTGCCTGGCTGTCCGGCTGGCTGGCTGCCTGGCTGTCCGGCTGGCTGGCTGCCTGGCTGTCCGGCTGCCTGGCTGTCCGGCTGGCCCTTGGCTGGCGCACCGTTACACGACGACGACGGGCGCGGCTCACGCAACTTGGGGCAGTTCAACGTTAGTTCGGCTCCAAATCGGCTCAGATGGAATGCCGCGCTGAGTCATGCGAGTGTCGCAATGCTGGCAATGCTGGCGTGGGCCGCCCTGGCCGGCCCGGCCAGAGCGCAGCATGATTCACTGACGAGGACTTCCCCGGCCTGGGCCTGGGCCTCGGCCCGGCAGGCATAAGCAAGAAAGCCTTACGCCGAATTTCCCCGTTCCAAACTCGATGATCGATAGTGCGAAAACCCCAGGGGGGCAGCCCAGCGCGCGGGGGAGAGGGGGGCGCGGCGTGCGGGTGGTGGGATGCCCGCGCCGCTTCCGGGTAAGGACACAGCGATTCGGGCGAATTGCCAGAGAAAAGGAACAAGAAAAGGGGACGGCGGGGACGGCGAGGGGAAGTCCTGCTGGGAGCGGCGGCCATGCGGCGGCCGTGCGACGGCGCCCCTCGGCCATCCCCGTCCGACCTGCATTAAACATGACCCCCGACCCTTCAAGAGTCGCGCCGTGTCGCACCCACACGTGCTTCCTGGCGCAGACAACGTCCGCCGCTCCGCCGTCCGCCCACACAACGCGATAAGACAGAGACAGAGCGATTAAAAACAGGTATTGCCCTCCGTGGCGACATCTACCTGCGCCCCGCCCCGCCCCCGCCCCGCCCCCGCCGCGTTCTTTCCCAGAACGCCCCCTCCCCCTCCTCAGCGTGCCGGCCACTCCAGCAGATCAATATGACTGCAACAGGTGGGCCGGCCTGCCACTGGCACTGCCAGGGCACTGCCAGTGCTGCCCCCGCGGACTTGACGCGCCCCAGGCACGGCCAGCACGCCCGCAAAACGCGCGGCCGCCGCCAGGGCTTGAACCCGCGGGCCTCCCGGAGCTTTTCGGGGGCCGGGCGCGCCGGTGGCAACGACCCGTTCCGAGAAGGAGCCACTCACACGCGGCCTGGGCGCCGCGCGGCGCCGCGCCTTTCGCCACACCACCGACCGGCGCGGACCGCGCGGGCCAGCGCCGCTACAGTGTGACCCTAGTGACCACCTCGGTGACCACACCACCGCAGAAGCGAAGGTCGCACCCGCGTTCAGGACGAGGTGGCGGCTTCAACCCGGTTCGGGTTGCCGACAGGGCCGACAGCCTAGAGAACTCGCCAACAAAATACAGGCCGCCCCCCGCCCCTTTCAGGCCGAAAGGGCTGCCGCCCCCCGCGGGGCCCGACCCCTCTACCTTGCCCACTGCTTCTAGCGCTGCGCAGCATCCTCTCAGGCCTGCTGTTGAGGACGGTCAAGGTCGCGGGGGGTAGGGGTGGGGGGCGGTGGCGTGGGGGGCTGAACAAGGTTTGGCGAGGTCGCCAGAGGACACAAGTCGGAGTAACGCCCTCCTGGCCGCGGGGTGGGGGCGTTTCAAGGTTCTGTCAGAGTGATAGGAGCGCGAAGGGAGGCTGGGGGCAACGCGCTCCGAAGGGTGCGTCCGTCCTGGGGAAATCCTTGAACCCTGACCCTCTATAAAAGGCCGCGCGAGCCGGCGGTAGTACCAGTGTACAGGCCTCGGCGGCCACGCCAATCTCCTTGGAGGCGAGAAATGGCGAACATTCCAGGCCCGGCTGGCTTGGCTTGGGCTTGGCCCGCTACCGGACCCTCGCCGCTACGCCGCCACGCCGCCACGACGCTGTCTGCGCCCAGTTCCAGGACAGGGCGTTCGTCAACGCGCCACTCGAAAAAAAGCGCGCGGCGCGCGTGGTGGACATCGAAAAGGAAGCAATCGGCACGCGATACTAAAACGAGTTCTTCGCCGGGGACACCTTTTTATTTGAACAGGATCGCGGAAAAGAGAGGCGGGCGGAGGAAAGGCGACAAAAATGCAGATCGCGCGGGTTTTATGAACGGTTCAAGGTGAGCCAGACGGGCGGGCGCAATCGGTGCGCTTCTCGGCGTGCTCGGAAACAGGGGCCCAGCGAAGACGGCGACAAGGACCTACAAGAACCTACAACGATCAACTAAGGGTCAAGGGTCTACCCGAAGGACCTAGAAGTGCCAAAGAAGGACCTAGAAGGGCCAAAGAAGGACCTAGAAGGGCCAAAGAAGGACCTAGAAGTGCCAAAGAAGGACCTAGAAGGGCCAAAGAAGGACCTAGAAGGGCCAAAGAAGGACATAGAAGTGCCAAAGAAGGACCTAGAAGGGACAAAGAAGGACCTAGAAGAGCCAAGAAGGGCCGAGCGTCCAGCCAATGACCTTCTCGCCTGCCTCTGGCCGCCTCTGGCCCTCTGGGCGACATGGCGGGCGCGGTGCCGCCGGGCCTCCTTACGCCGCGGGGCTATTCAGATGGCTCGCCGAATTTGAGTTGCTAATCCAGCCAGACACGACATCGCGCGGCGCAGGGCAGGGCGGCAGGGCAGGGCGGACACACCGCCCGCGCCATCCTTGTCTGCCTCGCGGTGCGCCGCGGTGCGCCGCGGTGCGCCGCGAAGCGCCGTGCTGCGCCCCCTCCCCGCAGTCATTGCGCCAAAAATAAACCACTCGGAGCGCTTCGAAAAGAAAGCGCCAATTGTGTTATTGAGGCGCGGACACGACGGCCGCCCGGACGGCCCAAAGGGTTGCGCGCCGCAACGCCGCAGCAGCGGTCGGGTGTTCACCTTGCGCAGGCCTTCCCGCCATGCCGCCTTGCCGCCTTGGCCAGGCAGCCCGGGCACAGCGCGGGGCGTAGCAGGGCGTAGCAGGGCGTAGCAGGGCGTAGCAGGGCGCAGCAGGGCGCGAGGCCAACACCCTGGCACAGTGTGGCCAGTGACCGTCCTTGATGCCCCCCCCCCTTCCCCCGGGGCCCGTTCTGCCCGTTCTGCGCGCGAGCCGCCGCACTCCAGCCTCGGAAAGGAGGCAGATGGCAGCACGATAAAAGATGATAGCGCCGACAACTTTTCAGACTCCTTCCTCCCGACCAACAAGTAACGGAATGTGCTCCTTCTTATCCTTCTTTTCAGTCCTCTCCTCCGGGTAGAAGAAACATGTCTCCGTTGCAGCCGACCCTAGAAACAGCGAGCTTTGCCACAACGCGCGTACCCCGACCCCGAGTGCGTGAGTGTGTACACTGCGTGGACAGAACCAATGTCGAGACAAGTGCTTGTCAATCTAGCGGCGTTTAACGCGGGGTAAATACCCTTCGCCCTGCGCTCTTTCCCCCAGGCGTCCGTCCGGCCGTTCACTCCGCGTCAAAATGGGGTTCAATAACTCTGTATACGCGGCGCCCCGCCCCACCCCGCCCCCACGGTCCAAGGACAAGGCCGTGCGTCTACCTCGGGAGCAACAACTCGAACGCTCTTGTTAAGGGGTAGGAGGATTTGCCAGCCCCCCCGCGCCTGCTTTCCCTTTCCACGTTTGCTCCGCCCCGCCCCGCCCCCGCCCCGCCCACAAGGTCACCCACCTCGCGGGTCGATACGCGTTCGCGACCGACCTCAACCCCAATGCCGTACGCCGGTCCAAAACTCACTTCAAGTGGCGCGGCGCGCGGCCTCGTCCGCGGCGACAGCCCCCGGCCCCATGGCCACCGCCCCCGGCCCGCCCCCGGCCCGCCCCCGGCCAGGACTTTGCCAGGCTTCGCTGCTTCGCCAGCCACACCCTTCAGCCTTCGGGCCGCTTCAGCCCGCGCCCACTTCCCAAGGCCGCCAAGGGCGCCGCCGTGGCACAGGCCCGGGCTGCCAAGAGCAAAATCGCGAACGCTACGTCTTCTCTTTTTTCTTTGCGCAAGGCACTGCTCGCCTCGGAGAAAGAGGGGGACCACCTGCAAGACCCGCCCGCGCACACACAGACACACACAGACACACAGTGAGACAATGTGCCGCGGCGGTATTGGTCGCGCAATGGCCGCGGCGCCGTCCTTCTGCCCCTTGGGCCCCTTCGCCACTTGGGCTTCGGCCGCTTCTGGCGGCGTGTTATAACGCGGCCCTCCCTTCCAGCCCCAGTCCGCCCGGTGCGCGGTCCCCGTCGGCGTAAGGCCGGTCGGCGTAAGACCAGCGGCGTAAGAAGGCCCGACAAAAGCCGGTCTATTTCGAGGCGTGGACGACCATGCAACATGCGCGCCCTGGCGGCCTGGCGCCCTGCGCGTCGCCCTTTCCGCCCTCGTTACCACACTGCGAAGGGCGGCGGGCAAGGACGGCGAGGACCCCCGCCCAATGTCGGCAGCCGCGCGGCCGCGGGAAAAAGACACACAGTGTCCGCGGCCGCGCGGGTGGTGGCCCTCGCTAAGGATGGATAGATGGACGGACGGACGTCGCCGACGTGCCGGACTCGACCGCGGCCCCGGGGCCAACCGAGAATCTCATCGGCGGCCGCGGCGGCAGGCACGCGGCGACGCGGCGCGTCCCGTCCAGCAGCCCGACGGCAGCGGCTGGCTCTGTCGCTCTCACGGCTGCGCCTATCAGGGCGCGAGAGAGACAAGGCGTTCTTTTGAATCGCTACGGGCCGGCTGCCGCGGTGGGGAGGCACACTGTGGACTTTTCTCCTCCCCGCCGACGACATTCCGGGCGAGCGGAAGGATTGGCGCCGTTCCGAGAAGCGACACACCCGCGCACACACAGACACACACACACACACACACACATGCACACGGGTCGGCGGTGGCAGAGGCGACCCCTGCGATTAGATAAAGGCGCCGGCGCCGCGCGTCCGCCGATCGGCGAAACGACTCACCTCCAGTGCCCAACACCTTGAGCAGCTCGAAGCTGGACATGTCCACCCGGTGGGCGCTGCTGAAGTTGACTGCAACACACGGAAAGGCACAGGTCAGCACAAACAGGACAAACAGGCAGGAAAACTCCGTCATCATTATTCGGACGCGTCGCGGCGCGAGCGAGGAAGAAGGCCCGACCGCTTCGCCGCTCGCCTCTGGGTTTTCCCCCGCCCTTTTTCCTTTCGTGTTGTTTTGTTTTTCCGCGGGTAAATGACACAACGCCCGCCACGCACTTTGAGGCGATTGTCTTGACGGAGAGGTGCGCGCGAGGCCCCCAGCGTGTCCGGCGTGCCGGGCGATTCCGCCGCCCGCACTCCCTCTCTCTCGCACTCATGGGGAGTGCCGCAGGCCCGCAGGGGTGCGAGAGAGACAGAGCGACGCGCCGCGATAACAACGCCGTCGCCCCAAACTTCCACACCGTGAACGCCTTGCGGTGCACCCTATCGCACGCCGCGGACGGGACGGGACGGGACGGCCGCGAGAACCCCAAACACTAATTCGCCCCTGCCGCTCGGCCGCAAGTCGAGGCGCGCGTCGCACACAGGCTTCCCGCACGGCGCGCTATCTCGATAAGTCGACTTTGAGACCCCCTGAGGCCCGCCTACACTAGGCAGGGCGCGCGGCGACGGGGTGGCGGCGACGGGGTGGCGGCGACGAGCGGTGACGGCCCGGTGGCGGTGGTCCGCCTCCGTGCGCGCCGTGCCTGGCCATGCATGCCCCCGCCGCCGTGAGGGGCCTCCGCGCGCCGCGCGCTGACCCCCGCAGCCTTCGGGCCTTCGGGCCTTCGGTACGGGCCTTCGGGCCGATGGGCTGGTTTCCCCGGCCGTCAGCAGAAAGCAGGCGGGACGGGCGGCGCGGCGACGGCGCTGGGCTGCACCGCGTCAACGCCACGCCGCCACGCCTACATGTGCATGCGCAGCACCGCGCAGCACCGCGCAGCACCGCGCAGCACCGCGCAGCGCCCCGCAAGGAGCCGGGCGGCCAGAGGGAACCGCCAGCCACGTCCCGACAAAAGGCTTTGGGTGTCTTGCCACCCATTCAACATCTACTTTCAAGGTTCCAACTGCATGTGGAGCCCCAACTGACTTAGACTAGGACATCACCTACATGAAAAACGCCAGTGCAGAGGCAAAACGGCTGCAGAAAGACAAAAAGTAAGCTCAACTCACTTGTGCACTTACACTAAGTTGTATGTAGCACACTATTTCAGTCAGTGTCGGCCCCACTCAGTCAGGCCCCTCGCTGCACGGCCTGCACACATGCAGATAACCGATTTCCAAACCAATTACCCGCCTGCGCCTTTTTCCATGGTTTCTGTCATCGACCCAGCGACAACACACACGGACACATACACACACACACACACACACACACACGCGCGCGCGCGCGCGCGCCACAGTAGTAAGCTGCAGCAGTCTGTTCACCCACATCAGAGTTGTCACTACCAGGAAGGGGAGGGCGGGGAAGGGGAGCCCGTCATCGCGCTACGGCCGATAACGGAAGCCGCCCCGCCCCGCCCCGCCCCGCCTCCAAAAGCGAGCCTTCTCCGCCACGACTGGGCGCGACAAAGTCTCGCCCAGACCAAAGGTCCCCACTGCAGCATTGTCTCGTTGTGCTTGTCAAAGTGGAGCAGCCGAGTCAGTGAGCCTGGAGTCTTCGAGCTGGAGCAGCCAGGGGCGTAGCCTGCAGAGAGAGGGGGGACACCCCACCGCACCTCTTTTGCCCTTCACAAAACGCTTGGTGGTAATCAGTTTCCGCCTTATGAGGGCAAAAAGTGCGACAGTACAAAACCCCTCAGGCGGCTACGCCACTGGCCTGGAGTCTACAGCGTGTGGCGTGGAGTCTCTACATCGGGCTGCCTGGAGTCTCTACATCGGGCTGCCTGGGGTCTCTACATCGGGCTGCCTGGAGTCTCTACATCGGGCTGCCTGGGGTCTCTACATCGGGCTGCCTGGAGTCTCTACATCGGGCTGCCTGGAGTCTCTACATCGGGCTGCCTGGAGTCTCTACATCGGGCTGCCTGGAGTCTCTACATCGGGCTGCCTGGAGTCTCTACATCGGGCTGCCTGGAGTCTCTACATCGGACTGCCTGGAGTCTCTACATCGGCCTGCCTGGAGTCTCTACATCGGGCTGCCTGGAGTCTCCAGCGAGTTGCCTGGAGTGGCGGCGCGCTGCTGAAACGCTCGGCCTACCCTCCAACAAGAACAACGGAACTTTCACTCGAGAAACGCCCCGCCGGCGTCGCAGCCCAAGGCGCCAAAGCCCGGCGAGCGCGCTGCTTGCTTGCTGCCCACGGCGGCAGGCCTGCTGGCAGTCCTGGTGCCGGTCGGCCCCCACTCCTCCGCCATCCCGGTCCTCATCGCAATTGCCACCGAATTTTCCCCTCCATTTTTTTTCGGCGGCACCGCGTCCGCGTCGAAGGTCGCGGGCTTGGGGAATCACCGCGGCGAGGCGCGCGAAGGCCATGGGCCGCCATGGGCCGCCATGGGCCGCCATGGGCCGCCATGGGCCGCCATGGGCCGCCATGGGCCGCCATGGGCCGCCATGGGCCGCCAGGGCCATGGGCCGCCATGGGCCGCCATGGGCCGCCATGGGCCGCCATGGGCCGCCATGGGCCGCCATGGGCCGCCATGGGCCGCCATGGGCCGCCATGGGCCGCCATGGGCCGCCATGGGCCGCCATGGGCCGCCATGGGCCGCCATGGGCCGCCATGGGCCGCCATGGGCGTAGGACGGCCAGGACAGCAGCGCCCTGCACGCTCTGTCTCTCTCGCACTCATGCGGCCCCTCCTACAGGAGCGAGAGAGACAGACGCGGCGAAACCAATTGTCGTCGGGCTGTCGTCGGCCGAGCCCGGGCCGCCCCGAAACGAGACGCCACCCGTCGGCACATCAAAATAATAACAATGATTGTGGAAAATAAAATGCCAAGTCTCACACCGGCCGAAGGACGCGGGCGCTGCGCGGGCGCCCTCTGCGCAGCGTCGCGACGCGCCTCCCTCCCCGCCCACGCAGCTACGCAGTGCCTCGCAGTGCCTCGCAGTGCCTCGCAGTGGCGCGGCACGCCGCCGCCTCGCGACAGGTACACTGGTACAGGCAGCGTTTCGCCTGCCTTCTGCCACCAAGGCCTTCCGACCGATAGATAGTCCCTTCCAATGGCGGCGCGGCAAGGTCGCGGACTCCGATCCTTGGGGCGCAATCGGCCAAACGCAGAAACAAACACAAAATAGCGGCGCCGCGTCCGCCGCCTGCCCCGCCCGCGTAAGCAGCCCCCCCCCCTCCCCCGCGACCTCTCCCCCTCCCCCCTCCGCTACACTTGTCATTAGGCCAGCCCCGCCAGCCCGGCCCGCGGTTTGCGGCCTCGATGATTCGGGTGTGGCCGGGCCGGGCCTCGCGCCGGCCGGCCGAGCAGTTATAGAGACACTGTCGCTAGGCGTCGCGCTCCCGCGGCAGTGTGTGTGTGGCTAAGAGCGTGTGTGAGAGCGAGGGAGAGAGGGCGTGAGCGAGTGAGTGAGAGGGCGGCCCGCAGCCGTCGTCGGCCCGAGCAATTTGTCACGGGGCGCTAAAATCCGCGACGCGCGGCGGCAAGGCGGCGGCGCCCTCGGGCCGATGGGGGAAATTACAACGTGGACGCCGAATCGACTCCACTTCGACGCCACACAAATTACAACGCGCTACAGTGTGCTGTGCGACAGTGTACAAAAGGTGCGCGAGGCGCGACCAGGACTCGGGCGATGAGGCGGACATCAAGGACGGGCGACGAGCGGGCCGGGCCGGGGAGGGACCACCCGCCCTCACTCACACTGTGGGCCGCGCGGGGCCCTTGGCCTCCCGTCCGACACCCACACACACACACACACACACACAGCCGAACCGGCGTGCGCACACGGCCCCGCGCAACGTACAGTGTAGCAGCCAGGTCCGCCGAATGGATTACCCGCGACGATGTCCCGAACACCCGCCAAACACACTCGCTGCCGCCGCCAACCCGCCGCCTTTCAAGTCGAAGCACCGCGAAGCTGTCCGTCCTCCCTTCCCCCCAGCCCAGCCCGTCCCGCGGCGCTCCAAGCAACGCCTCGGCGCGGTGGGTGGAGTCCTCGAGGCCTCGAAGGCCTCGAAGGCCTCGAAGGCCTCGAAGGCCTCGAAGGCCGCGCTGTCGTCACTCGGCTTCCCTCAATGTCAAGCGCCCTGCTGTGGCGGTCCTGGAGGTCCTGGCGGAGGGAATGCCAGGTGTCCGCCCCGGCCGGGACTCGAACCCGGCACCGCCAAAAGCGCGGCGACGTGCCCCGCCATGACCGCCATGCCCAAGTAGATGATCCACCAAGCCGGGTGAAAGTGGACTCCCTAGCCTTGCCCTGCTGCCTCACCAGCCTCGCCCCGCGCGCGCCCCGCCTGTACCGAGACAAGCACATTGTGCAACTCCCCCGCCGCAGCGCGCACTCGTGTGTGTGAGTGTATGTATGTGCGAGTGTGGGTGTGTGGACGTGTGTCCGTGTGTGGATGTGAGTCTATGCGCGGCGACTGTCCGTGTGTGAGTGTGTCCATGCGAGGCGACTCCCCCTTCCCTTCCCCTGCTCCTCCTCTGTCAAATTGCTACGCCGGCTCCGCAACGCTCCGCAACGCTCGGGGACGCGAGACTTCGCCGAGGCTTCGCCGAGGCTTCGCCTTAGGCTCGGCGGGTCGCGGAACACATTCCCCGCCACCGGCAAGCCAAGCCCCGGCAAGGCAGGCCAGCCACCGGCCAAGCCACTGGACGGACAGACAGAGTCGGCTCGAGTCGGAAAGATACTACCGCCAAAATAGCGGTGGCCGGTGCGGCCGGGCAAGGCGCGCATCACCGCAGCCGTTTGGCTATACTCGGCACAGCCGGGGTCTCTGACTCTGCGCGCTGCGCGCAGCGCCCCGACTCGGCTTGGCGGCAGGGATATCGCCGAGATTTAATTGCCCGCCGCGGTCTTCCCGCTAATGGCTCAGTGAGAACGTGTGTGTGTGTGTGAGAGTGTGTCTGTGTGCAGCGGCAGGCGGTGCAACCAACGCAATAATGCAATGCCACGGCCAGGAAACGCGAGCCGGCAACACGGTGCAGCGGCTGTGTACTGCAGTGTGCCAGCCAGCCAGCCAGCCAGCGCGCCAACCCCGCGGAACGCCCCGCGGAACGCCCCGCGGAACGCCCCGCGGAACGCCCCGCGGAACGCCCCGCGGAACGCCCGCGGAACGCCCCGCGGAACGCCCGCGACGCCGCGGAACGCCCGCGGAACGCCCCGCGACGCCCCGCGGAACGCCCGCGGAACGCCCGCGGAACGCCCCGCGGAACGCCCCGCGGAACGCCCCGCGGAACGCCCCGCGGAACGCCCCGCGGAACGCCCCGCGGAACGCCCCGCGGAACGCCCCGCGGACGCCGCGGAACGCCCGCGCCCCCGCGGACCAGCGCGCCGGACGCCACAACGCCCGCGACGCCCCACGGAGCCGGCGCCGCGGACTTCGCGAGGCGTTCGATATCATTTTCAGCGTAACGGTTGCGGGCCGGGCCGCCGGACAGACAGGCAGCCTGACGGACAGGCAGACGTGGAGACAGACGGACAGAGAGTCCGGCAGACAGTCGGGCAGACGGCCGGAGCGGCCCATAAAAGTACACGTCGTAAAGACAGGCGGTGCCGATCGCGGCTCCGCGGCGGCAGGTTGCTCAGATCGGCGGGCGCCGGTATCAAAAATCTTAAAAGGCGGCGGGGCTCGGGTCGGCGGGGCCGGACTCGCTCGGCCTGACAGCGCGCCGACGAAAAAGTTGAGCCAGCTCCTTACGTAAATTGCGCCGTTGTTGCTCGGGGAACGGGGCAACCGGGCGGGCCGACCTGGCGGGGCGAGGCGAGGCGCAAGGCCACACGCTGCACGCGCTTTACCGTATTTTCACCGCTTTTCCAGCGGCCATCACGCCTCGGGCCCCGTCGGGCCCGTGCCTCCGGGAAGGCCGCCCGCACCGCCAAGCCGCCACGGCCAAGCCCCCCTCCACCTCCAATCAACACCACACGACAGCCAAGCCGCCACCCCAAATTACTCAAATAAATTAAACAGGCAACCTAACCTATAAAGGCGCCGGGCCGCCCCGCCCGAGCAGACCCAGGCCTCTGGGGAGTATCCGAAGTCGCGTTCGGCGTTCGGCCCGGCTTCGGTTCGACTCGGCTCGCTCGGCCATAGCAGGCCAAGTGGCACTGCAGGGGCATGGGGCAGGCCGGGCGGGGCGGGCAGGGCGTACCTCCGCCACGCTGTGGGAGTTACCGGGGCATAACTGCACGACGGCGGACGTCTCGCCGCCATGCGCATGGCAACCGATGGCAGCCGATGGCAGCGGGCAAAGGAAACGACACAAATAGCAAAGAATAGTGCGCCGCGGCGACAAGGTCCGAAATGCCGCGTGGAACAAAAGCAGCAAGGCGTCAATAACCAGCGAACTACACCATCGGGGAATGCGGGGAGGGGAGGGGAGGGGGCCGCGAGGGGGAAGGCAGGACGATAAAGAGAAGGACAGATAATGATAAGCAGGGCCAAGCGGGGCGAAGCGGGGCCAAGCGGGGCAGGCCCAAAAGAAAAAGAGCGGGACCAATTTATCAAAGCACAGGGCCCGTCCAGTATCAGTGCCGCTCCATCGCCCCCGCCCCGCCCCGCCCCGCCCCGCCCCGCCCCGCGTACGTGCGCATCCGCCGCTGTGCTCGGCTGCCTCCACTGCCCCGGGGTCCCCGGGGTGGCCACACTGCCACACTAGGACGCGAGCCGGAAGTCGAGATGATATTAGCGCAGGAAATAAGGGTCAACACCCCTCGGCCCTCGCACTGCCCTGCAAGCTTCGCGGGGGAATTCCGCCAAATCGCACTTTCTCCTCCTCCTCCCCGATATCAGCCCCGCGAGTCCATCGGCGAGGCGCTGACAGGGACGGGTCCACCGGGGGAGGGGGGGGGGGGGCGTCTGGTCTGGCATATGGACCATTAGTCGCATTTTTCCAAAGGTTGTCTGGCATCCACGGCCGGCCGCCGCGAGGCAGCCGACTGGCCCAGCCGACTGGCCAGACGAGGCCGGCCGACAAGGCCCTCGCGGCGGCTGCCCTGCCGTGCCCTGCCCACAGCCCGGCAGGCCCGGCATACGGGCAGACGAATCGGCCACAGCGCCGCCGCCATGCCCGGCGTCTCGGTCGGCGTCGGCACATTGCATCAAGGCGTGGCGCACGCGTGCCGGCCACGCCGCGAGGCTAGGACGCGGAGACGCTCCCCGCCGCGAGGCTAGTCCAGCCGGTGGCAACGGAGCCGAAGGCAGCAGCGTAGAGTTACGGGACTGTCTACGGTACCTGGGCGGAGAGGCCGCGCGGCCCGCGGGGCGGGGAAGGACCGCGGGGGAAGGGGGAAGGGAAGGGGGCAAGCGCCAAGTAGAAGGGGCACGGTGGGGGCCCCGCCGCCCCGCCGCGCCAGCCCCGGCGGAGAAGCTCTAGTCCTGCCGTGACGCGCCTTGCCGCGCCGCGCCGCCCAACCCTTTCCCTTTCGCCGGCGGAGCCATGGCAGCCAATGGCAGCCAGCGCACTGCGAGCAACTCCGAGGACGACGCGGCGACGCAGCGAGGCAGCGGATGGCCGGGGAAGGGACGAGGCGCGCCTTGGCGGAGGCAGAGGCATAGCAGAGGATCGAGGCCATCATCGCGGATGAGGAAAACAGCGCGAAAAAACCAACCGGCAGGAGATAAAGTGTACAGTGTACACACACCAGGCCCAGGCAGGCAGGCAGGCCGCTCGGTGCAGTGTAGTGTACAGCGACACCAAGGTGCCCAAGGTGCCCACCGCTTGCGTTGCGCCACTTTCGCGGTATACACAATCAATGTCGTCGTCCCCCGTCGCCGCGGCGCGTTCCGTTCCAGATAGCGCCCGGCCGGGGGGGGGGGGGGGGTCAATCTGGGTGGGTGGCTCGGGGCGGGGAAGGGAGGGGAGCCTAATGTGATGGCCTCAGGCAGAGCGGCAGGGGTACCAACGACAAGGGCGAGGCGGCGTGGCACGGGTACCAACCAACAGCACTCCCCTGACTCGCCCGCATCCGCCGTGCGCCGTGCACGCCAAGCAGTGCACCGCGCTGTACGCGCACACACCTCCCGGAGGGTGGCGGCACGGCGCGGCACGGGGCACGCGCGGCACATGCGGGTCGCCACCCCTCCACACCCGTCTTGGCGACATTGATGCATGCATCCAATACAAAGGCATACCCGGGCGTCGCGATGCAGTGCCAAAGCATGCCAAAGCCTCGGGGCGGCCCCCATCGCCGTCCCCCGCCGGGCCTTCCCCGGGGCACGGCACGCCAGGCTGGACAGCGGCCGCTTGCTTCCGTCCGAAAGGAAATTGTCGCGGGGATATCGCGGCCGGGCCGGGCGCGCTGAGATTAGGTAACCAAACTCCATCGGCCGCCGCGCCGCGCCGCGCCGCCCCGCCCCGCCCCGCGCCGCACTCCCACGGCCCCGCTGGTTCCGGCCGTTCCGGCAGGGCGTCCTGGTGTCGCGGGGGTGCCGCCAAAGCGTGCCGGGGTTGCTGAGGGCTGCAGGCTGCAGCACCGGCAGGGCAGGCCCACTGCAGCCCAACTGCGGCCCGAGTGAAAGTGACAAGACGGTGCCACATTCGTTAGGCTGATCCGCCTACTTAAAACGCCGTGGCGGGGCTGGTGTTCGAACCGCAGCCCGCGACTCGGATTGCTGGCGGCCCGTCGGCCGGCCTCAGCGCGGCTTAAAGGGGATGGCGCTAAAGGGTGGGCGCCGCGGTGCCGCGGCGGCACAGGCATGGGGGTGGGGGTGCCACGCGCCCCCGCCTGTCCAGGGGCTCGGCTCGGCTTGCCGGCCTGCAACAGCCCCGCACTCCACCACACTCCACCGCCCGCCTGAAAGTGTAGGGAACGCAGTTGGGCTATACCCAGCTATACCTCGCAGGGGCTTCCACCCTTTCGCTACCCCGGCCCGCCCCGGCCCGCCCCGCCCCTCGACTAGACTCGGCGGGAAGGGAAACCCCCTCGCTCGGCCGTGTAAGCTGTGGGTGTACCGGTGTACCTACCGGCAGGGGCTGAATCCGTACTTTCATTCCCTCATTCATTAATTCGCCCATTCATTCATTTGCCCATACATCCAATCATTCATTCATTCGCTCGTCCATTCGTTCGCGGCTCCGGACCCTCTGGCCCGACTGGACTAGTCGGACTAGTCGACTCACCTCTGTCAATGGCGGGCCTGATGGCGTGGCAACAGTCCTGCCCCGGCGCCACATTGTTGTTGAGGGCGTCACAGGTGGACATGGTGGACGTCGGGGTGGCCGCGGGGTTGGCCCGGCGCCCCAGGTGCCCTAGTCCGCACACGCCCCCGCCGTGCACCACGGCGTCGTCGTCCGAGTTCTCATCCTCGAAGTAGCCGCTCTCGTGCTCCACGGTCTTGTGCACGCCCATTTCGTCGACTTGGCTGTTTCGCCGATCACAACTGACACATAACCTCACTTTTCCTTCCACTCGCGCCGTGCGCCCCGCGCTCCTCACCACAGTCCCCCGCCTAGGCGCGCCTAGGTCAGGTCGAAAGTCCTGGGCCCGGCCATCTCGGCGAACTGAGACACTGCCGCCGCACTGGCAGCGATTTCTTGGACGAACACCGAACACAGGTCGCGCCGCCGACAAGCTCGACAAGGCGCTGGTGGGGATGACAGGAACGCTCTCGGTTGCGAGCAGGGTATCGCGGGACAGTCCAGTTTTAGCCTGGCAAACCGCAGACAAACAGCAACAGTTCCACTAATTTGCTTGAACCACTTGTTGGAACTGTCAGACAGACAACAAGCGACAGTCCAAATTGAATCACTTTTTAGCACTTATTCACATTCCGATCCGATCGACTCCGATGGAATGTTCACTTGGTTTCTTTCTTCGCAAAACAAGGCGCTCACACACACACACACACGGGCACACACTGCCGGTCGATTTCTTCAAGTAATCCTTTTAGAGAGGCGGTGGAGGCGCGGCGTCCCCAGTTGCTAGGCAACGGATTATGTTACAGCGTGACACACACTGTGACACTCAAATGTAAACAACAAGTGACTCTTTGGAGAGACGCGACGACGTCTTTCCCTCTCGGACCAAAGCACGGTACTGGCGGCGCGCTCCGCTCCGCCTGGCTCCGCCCGTTCGCTGGCAAGCGAGGCGAGCCGCGGGCCGAGCGCTCAGCTGAGACGCCCCTCTCTGCCCCTCTCACCCGCCGCCCCCTCACCGAACTCGGCTCGGCTTCGGCTCGGCTTCGGCGCGCGCTCGGCCGCACCGACAGCCACTTCCCGCGAACAGCTGCGCGCTCAAAGTGTTGCGGTGTCAAGACCAGTCAACACTCACACAGGGCACAGCCGGGGGCACAGTGCACGGAGCACTGTAACGATTTTAACCGCGCAGTTACATAGGGCACAACGCGGCCCGCGCCACGACGGGGAACGAGTAGCCAAGACGCCTCGCTGCCCTGCCCCGGCCGCCGCCGAGACGCGGGAACAGCGAGGCGCACGGCACGGCACTGCAAGGCACAAGGGGCACAAGCACGCGAACAAAGGCAAGGCCGGGGCATTTCGCGGCCAGGCTACGCCAGGCTCGCCGAGCGCGGAGCAGAGACAGACTGGGAGTCGTTTTCGTCTCTCTGTCTCTCTCACGCCGAAACGGGGCCGCCCAGCAGTGCGAGAGAGACGGCGAGACGAAAACGACTCTCGGAATCAGCGCGGAGCAGCGCGTCGCCGACTCACGCCTCTTTTTCGACCGATGGTGAAACGCTAAAAAGTGGCCACGGCGGCGGCGGGAGTCGAACCCGCAGACCCCACGCGTCGCGCCAAGCGTCGCGGTGCGGCGGCAGAGTATCGCCGCGTTATCTTGGCGCTAATAATGCAGTGTCGCTGCGATTGAAATCATTGCGTCATCTGCTCCAGCGGCAAGCCGAGCGCGCGTCAAGGGCGGATCCAAAGACGAGTTCAGGAGGGGGAGGGGGACGTTGCCTGTGTACACAAGAAAAGTGCGACGTGTTGCCCACCTTCCAGGGGGGGGGGTCACCTTCTTGGTCCCCCTGGAGCGCGTTCGTTCGCGCATTCACCCACCCACAGTGTTTGCGGGCCTTCCGGGCGAGCAGTCCCCAGCCCGAGTGGCCTCCGCGTGCTCCACGTCAACCCTTCTTCCCTTCGGAGGGCGGGGCGAGGCGGAGCGAGGCGGAGGGGTGACTGACCCCTCTTCGTCGACGTTTCGAAAGCGTCCCAGTAATGAAGCCGAAGGCCCCAGTCGCACGGGAGCACCACCGGAGAGCCTCGCAGCACGGCGTCAGCCGAGCGAAGATCGGTTCGTCGCTCTGTCTCTCTCGCACCCACACGGAGAGCCCCGTGAGTGCGACAGAGACAGAGCGACGAAACGACTCTTCCGAATGGCTCGGCAGCGCGCGTCAGCGTAATCGAACACGCCCACGACAGTCACTGACCACGTCGGTCGTTTTCTCGGGCTAGCTCTCCGCCGCGGGGGCGGCTCTCTGCTGCCGGCGTGCCGGCGTGCCGGCCTGCAGCGGCCGTTGCGGGGGCAGTACAGTAGCAATTTGCACTTTCAGGGGCAAAGTATGATTTTCGCCTTTCTTTCGGGCGGTTATCGAGGTGTGGGAGGGGGAACCCCTGGCGGCGGGGCGGCGTGGACTTGGCGGCCCTGGGGTCCGCGGGAGCAGGGCGCAGCTTGGAGCAGCTTGGCGCAGTGCTGCTTATCCGAACAGCGCTCCCTCTCCGGTAGGGTGTGCGAGTGAGACAGACGACTGACCCTTTCCTGGCCCGCGGTGCGCCACGGCGGCCACGGCGGCCACGGCGGCAGGCCGGCAGGAGGGTGGAGCAGTTCGATTGAGGCCGAATCTGGCCCTGACACGGGGAGGCGAGGCTCCCTCCCTGGCGGCGCGGGGCGGCGCGGGCCGGGCACGTTCGAGCATCGGCCGGCGCAAGCGTCGCCCCAACAGTATCTCGCGGGTACCGTATTGTTTTGGGCGTGTTTGGCGTTCCCGTCCAAACACGGCGGGGCACCGGCACGCCCACGGGCATCGCGCGGCGCGTCGCGGCGTCGCGGGGCGGCAGGTAGGTGGCCGTTCAACGCTCCGCCGAGTTCAATGCGCATCGCGCACCCGCCGGGGGGTTTGATGCACCCTGTGCCGGCTTGGCGGTGCTTCGCGGTGCTTCGCGGCTTCTGGTGGCGGCTCAGCTGCTGGCTCGCGGGTCGGCGACGTCCCGCCAAGCAGCCAAGCCGGCAAGGACACTTCCGCCTCGGTCCCTCTGCAGTTCGACGCTCTCTCGCGCGGACGGACGGACGGACGGACGGACGGACGGGCGGACAGACGGACACACGCACGGGTCGCGTCTCTTTATTTTGGACCTTTCGCTAATCCCTACGTGACGGTGCTGACTGGCTTGTTTTCCCTTCCCTCGGCAGCTCCACCGCCGGCCCGGCCTTCTTCGCGGAGAAATGACGCGGGGAGGGGGTAGCAAATCACGACCTCCCGGTGCTTGTTTATGTTTCGGCGTCGCGGCTCGCCGGGGAGCCACGCCGGGCCTGCCACCATGCTGCCCTGCCTGCCGCGCCGGCCGGGGATCCCCGAGCGTGTTTGGCCGTTTGGCCGCGGAAGGCGAGGCGCGACACTGTGAGGGCCGCCGGGATGGATTCGCACCGTCGGCCCGTCGGCCGCAGCAACTTTGACTGAGTGTGCCCAGAGTACACAGTGGACCGACACACCAGTTTTGGAAGGGCAGGGTGCCCTCGCTCTGGGCACGCTGCGTGATGTCTGCTTGCGCCTCGAACGAGGGACCTATGGATTACGACTACCACTCGAGTCCCATTGGAGGAATGTGGGCCCCGCGACGGCCCGAGTTGTGTCGTGCGTCTCGTTCCCATTGTCCCACTCAGTGCCACTATTTTGGCGAGGGGCTTTCCGCGGAAGGCGGCCGAAACGCCCGAGCGCGTGGCCGACGGCCGCTTGCCGTCGTGCACCTCCGTGTCTTCCAAATCCTTCGCCATCATGTCGACGCCAAATCGGCAAGTGAATGTCTCGTCTCGCCGGCCTGATGGTTCGTCCGCCGTCGCTGTTCGACCCGCCCAAACAATTGCGCCTTCTGCCGCGCCACTCAGCCAAAGACTCGCGAGCGCCTCGGATTTCGGATGCAAGAAATAAATGAGTTGAAATCGAGTGACGAATCGCGTGGAATGCCATCCACCATCCAGGCTTCCTGTTGTGTCCGCGGGACGAACCTCCTCAAGGCAAAAGCTTGTCCAGCTTGTCCGCATGAGCGCCCATGGCTCCATGACTCGCCCATGACTACCCTGTCGAAAGTCAGCCGCCGCCTCGGCCCTTTGGCAGCGCTGCACTGCGAAAAGCTACAGCTCGTCCATTGGCATTTCAATCAGCGACTTAAGATATCGAAGTGAGATCATAATCTCATTTTATTTTCAGCAATGTCCGCCAGTGTTACAGGCGGTGGGAAGTAGTCAACACGGACGGAGAGCCGAAACACAACAGTGTGGAAATAGCTGCCTTCTAAACTGGAAAAACAATTGCGCAAGTTGTGCTTTTTTGAATGATTCATGCCCTTTTTCGGCGTATTGGAAACCCGAACCCGCAGAGCCGATGACGCATTCACGCCGATAAAGACTTTCAGATAAAGGGCGTGAACTCAAAAGGGATAACATTTATTTATGCGTTGGTTTTCTTATGAGAGGCATATGTAGTTGTTGACAGTGGGGGCAAGCTGAGTGAGGTAGGCAGCCAGCACGACTCCGCTGCGTCGCGGGCAAACTGCAAACCATCAGACATGGCCCGTTCTAGAATCATCTGGCGTCCACTGCCAGATCGTCCGGACGGCCAAGGTTTCGCCGGCAGAGGGCGCCGTCGGCCCCCATTGAGATGCGGCCCTTCACGGCTCACAGGAAACAACATCGTGGCGGAGAGGAGTCCGCCAAGGATGGCGATGGCACTGGCACGGCGTCGTGGCGGCACGGCGGGCCACGGCGGCGTCACGCCGACCGCGGCCACCACACTGTCCGTGGCGACTCCTACTGCCCCACGGCCCGGCCAGCCGAACCTACTTCTTCGTCCACTTTGTCACTTTGTCGCTGCATGAGAAGCACCGTATCAGCAAGTCGAGTCGCGGCGCGGCGGCCTGGAGCCATGCGTCGTCGTGCTAGCCTCGGCTTGCCTCGGCCGCGCCGCCAACAAGTTGGGCCACGTCGTGCCCGGCCGGTGAATCACCATCTTGCCGTTCACCGGCCGCCCCGGCCGTTCCGGCGACAGCAGCGCCCCGCAGCCCGATTCCCCGCCCCGTCGCCCTGTCTCTCTCGCACCCCTTCGGCAGCCCCACGAGTGCGAGAGAGACAGAGGCACTGTTCGGAAGCAGCCTGCTTGGCCGGCCGGCCGGCCCGCGCACCAGCCAACAATGCGGCAAGAGCGATGCGGCAGAGGCTGCGTGCAGAGCGATACCACACTGTGTCGCTCTGTCTCTCTCGCACCGCTACGGGACGCCCCATGAGTGCGAGAGCGCCAGGGCGATGAAAGCCCCGTTGGGAGCCAGCCTGCCGAGGGCGACAGTCCTTGACTGGCGAGTGGTACCACCACGGTACCACTCGTGCTCCAGACTAGGGTGGCCAGCTGACTGTCAGTCGGACGCTCAGTTCACCGGGCCCAGCCAGACACCCAAAACGCCCCAACTGGGTCAGCTCCGCGGAATAGAGGACCGCGGCAGCAAGAGGCGTTACGAGAGACCCCCCCCCCCTTTCCCTCCCTTTAGAAAGTAACGCCGCTCGATCGGCTGGCAAGCGCGTGAACGGCTCGGTAACGCCGCACGGCGGCACGGCCAAGGCACGGCCAGGCACCGCGCTAACGCAAGACCGGTGTAAAGTTACTTGTCACCGTGTCTCTCGCCGCGGCGTGCCGCGTGCCGCACCGCGTGGCGTCCCGCGTGGCGTATACAGGCGCGACCAAAAGTCTCTGAGAAGGGCCCCGGCCTGAGGGCCCCGGCCGGCCTGAGGGCCCCGCGCTGGGCCGCTCCGGTGCGGACTGGAATTCACCTCTGCTGGAAACATGGGAGCTGGGGGCGAAGCGGCGACAGGCGCGTCGCCGAGGTGCCCAAGCGGCCGTAGGCGCCGTAGCGGGGCGGCGGTTGT